TTAGTTCATGTGACACTCACACATCGAACATTATTGTATATATAATATTTAGCTTCTTGCCAATCGAAACAGTGCTCTGATGACGGTCAGAATCAATAATTTCTATTATTTTACTGAGCTTTTCGCCAATTTCCTAACCCTACCGCTATTTAAGGTGTTTAAATTTAGAAATTAATCTGTTGGCCTTCACGTTCATGTGAGGATAATGTTCATGAAATATAGGTATTGAAAATTTTCTTAATTAATTTACAAGTACATACATATACATACATTTCTTTCTGTAATTGTGCGCACACAAGTAGTTTGGAAATTTGGTTTCCAACGAATCTTACAAAAGTCTGAATGGGTGAATTTATGTTAATTGAAAAAGAAAATTCATTGTAATTGAATATAACAATATGAAAGCATTATTGAAAATAAACCAAGCAACACTGTTATTATATAACAGCAACAAATCAGTACTTAGTTGTAATACCGCCCGCCGCTGCAAATGTGATGCTTCATTACACAGCAGAAATTTGATAAAAGCATAACAACTCCCTTACACATTTACGATATTTATGTATCATATATGCAATGCACAATACACAACAGCAACAACAATAACTGATTGCATAACTAATATAGTTTTTAAGTCAAGTAGAGAATGATGGGTGTTAGTAATTGGACATGTAGTAGAAAATTCCACGGAAATTCAAGAGAAAAAGTAAACTACGTGTATGTTGAATGATGGGTAACATTTTCTGATTTAGTTGTAAATTAATTGATAAAAAACTGTATTTTGGTTATATTACTGTCATGTAATTGAAATACACAACAATATAGACTCAAAATGGTTATTATGCAATATTAATCAGCAGCCAATGCCCATGCTTTGGTATGAAAAGTTTTTCAAGCGATTTTGGTAGAGCCAATTTATTACTGGTATATTTTACTTATGTTATTGTATAAAAAATATTTAAATAAAAAATAAAGTTAAATTTTCTAAATGAGGTCGCCCCTCGGCTGAGAATGTTAACACCTCCGAGTGTATTTCTGACATGAAAGGAAAGCTCCCGTAGAAAAATCATCAGCCTTTCGGAGGCGGCTTAGTATAAACTGTAGGTCCTTCCATTTGTTGGAAAAACATCAAAACGCAAAACCAAAAATTAGAGTAGGAGCTCGGCCAAAAATCGTTTCAGCGGTTACAAAGCCCCAATTATATATATATATAATATATATATTGAATATAAGAAATAAAAATAATTTTTTAATTAATAATTTCCAAGTGAAAAATGTGTGACCATTGTAGCGCCCGTTCTCCATAACAGCTTCAACTGCAGCATTGGTCGCTGTAGACATCAATGTAAGTGAGCAAAGCGAGCAAGTACTGTCTAATTGAATGTATTCATGTATGTATTTACTAATTGATAATCCCATCCCCGAACAAAAGTGGTTGTCGCTTTACGGACACTCTTTGTTGTTTACTTTTCACAATTTTTCCTTTGTTTCGGTTGATTTGGCAAATTCGATGCGGAAGAAATAAGAGAGAAGTATGCAAATGGCAACACTTCAGTGCCTTTCAAAAATTTCCCGCAATATTACGTAAACAGCATAACATTTTATTTAATTTTTTTCATTAAAGCGTTCTATAAAATATCTTAATATAAGGTTGTCAAATATCCCCCTTCCGCTTTTTTGTCTTTTGAATTTCGCGGCTATTTACAAAGCGCTACAGAGCTCGTATCTGGCAACACTATACATAATTTGAAAGGTCTTGACATAACCTACAAAACAACGCTATGCATGATTAGTTTGGATATTGCGTTCAACACCTGTTCCTGTCCATGGCGAATGCCCTTGGTGGTGTGAAGTTGAACTCAAAAGAGGCTTGTGAAAAGTGGCTGTCCGAATTCTTCGCAAATAAGGAGGGAGGCTTCTACGAGCAAGGTATTATGAAGTTGCCGTCTAGATGGAAACAGATCATCGAACAAAACGGCACATATTTTAACTAAATCCGATCACTGTAACACTTTTAATAAAACATTGAATGAAGAGCAAAAAAGCGGACAACCTTATATGTTTGGTTCAAATATTGTAGTAAATACTAGCTACACTTTTTTTTGGCTAATTTTTTTCTTCAAATAGTATGCTCGGCGAGTTGTAGGACAGTAGCGGTTATTACCAATATTTAGTGAGACGCGTTCGATAGATAGCGAAATTTTGATATTTAAGGTGCCATCAGACGCGGCAATTTATTTATTTCGAAATTCATATTGAAAAGGCATATTTCCACATTTAATTTCAAGAGCAATCGCACGTAGCATACAAACTTCCGTTGAAAATGGAAATATTTATCAAACAAAAATTTTTTTGATAATACTAAAATCCGTAGAGGGTTATCGTGAATGATTCCTGAAGCAGGCACAATTTCTCCACATTCTTCTTACTAAAGTTGAATAAAATCTAACTTTGAAATCATCATTGTTATTTTGATGATATTGGATGAGTGCATAAGTTCGTGCCCGATTCCGCTGGATGCCGTTCGAATCGTTTGAGAGTCGCGCTCGTGAAGAAGGACGCATGGAAGATGGACAACGAAAAAGATCATATGCGTCATATTATGTTATACGAATTCCGCAAAGGAAAAACAGTAGGCGCTGCAACTAAAGATATTCGCGAAGTTTATTTGGACCGTGCTCCAGCACTCCGCACATCAAAGAAATGGTTCGCGAAATTTCGTTCTGGAGATTTTAACCTCGAAGATCAACCTCGCAGTGGACGGCCTTCTGAGCTTGATGACGATGTTCTAAGGACTTTAGTTGCGAATTACTCACGTATTTCGACGGAAGAGGTTGCCAGTGAATTGAACGTCAACAAATCAACTGCGTTTCGTCGTTTAAAAAAGGTTGGAAAAAAAAACAAAGTGGACCGCATGTCAACAGTAATTTCTTTGCTTCGACGGATCAAAAGCGAACCTTTCTTGGATCGGCTCGTGACTGGTGATGAAAAATGGATCCTGTACAACAATGTTCAACGCAAAAGAACGTGGAAACAGGCACACAAAAGGGCGGAACCGATGTTGAAAGGTGGATTGCATCCAATGAAGGTACTGCTGTCCATTTGGTGGGATATCCGAGGCATGATCTATTTTGAGCTCTTGCCAGCTGGAGAAACGATCACTGCCAACAAGTATTGTCAGCAATTGGTCGATTTAAAGAAAGCAATTGATGAAAAACGTCCGATTTTGGCCAATTGCAAAGGAGTTCTTTAAAAGCGCTTTCTTCAAAAAATTTCAATTTTAGTTTGCACTTGAAATCGGGCACGAACTTATGCACTCATCAATAATCGAATTTGATTTTAATATTATATTGAAAATGGGCATCCGTTTACGACTTCACACTAAAATCATAAGCGCTCAAAGCAACAAATTGAACAACAACTTTTAAAAAAAAACATTACACACTTCGTTGGTTTTCCTTGAGGGCATTTGAAGCGAAGAAAATCCATGTATTTCCGGTAGCTAAGCAACCGACATTTTTACACTTCCAATAACAAGCGTTGCGCTACTATAATGAGCTCCTACAAGCGTTAAGTTATAGGTAAAGATACCGGCAGTGAGGCATAAAATACCAGAGAGACAATGAAAAACTACATTTAGTATGTAAATAAGTATGTACTTAAAAAAACTATATATTTTCTGCTTTTTAACGAGCTAACAACCTGACTTGCTGACTAGATGTCGGTGTGTCGGTGTGTCGGTGTGATGGCAGACATCAGTCAACAAATTAAACTCATAAATTTTCCAACCTCGCCCGAAGCGACTCAACACTTTTATTCAAAAGTCGGTCGGGTGACAGCTGAAAGAAGTCCCGAACACTCTCGCATATAAATATTTACGTAAACTTTTATTTAATTTCGTATAAAATGCAGGGCTTGTAATCATAAATTTAAACTCTAAAAACAAAAAAAAAAAAAAATAAATACCTCAAGAACGCTTAAAGCAAAGCAATAGCTGGTAAAAGAGCTTTTTACACACATACACATATTTATTTACTGCTTTTGGCGCACCCTGGCACGTACACCAGCATGTATGTTTGCGTGTACATATGTATGACGTTAAACCGCAATTTAAAGAGCTGGTGTATTATGGCTAACATGTGTCACGAATAATAATGAACGAAAAAAAAAAGCTGTAGGAAAATGTAAATGCAACAAAAGAACCGTCGTAATGCTCGCTAAAAGACAATAAGGAAGACAACTCCGTCGAAGAAGAATTGCAAAAACTCATATATGTATATTCAAAAGTATGTGATGTATGTATATGTACATTTCTTTTACCGTCCCCGTTAGTTGCCACGACTCAACACCGTTGTTTAAATCCCTTTTGGAGATCATTGACACTATACGAAACTCGTATAAATATTTTTTCAATCAAAACAAATCGAATACTTTTATGGAATCGATAAACGCAAATTTGTAAATTATTCTTTGTTATTTAAGCAGGTATTGAACGAAGAAAACGAAAAACTCAATACGTATTAAAGTAAAAAAAAGTAAATTAACTATTCTATTTAGTTGCCGAGGATGAATACACTCACGTACGTAAACATAAACGCAATGTGTGAGGTTTTCCTCGGTTAGTGAGATGAGGTATTGGGTAATTTAATTAAAAAAAATAAAAATGAATAAATATAAAAGCAGATAATAAAAATTTCAGATACAAAATATCGCTAATTCAATTATTTTTACAAGGGACTTAGTAAATTTATGTTGATAGCATTAAAAAGTGCTCGAAATTGAAATCAAATATGTTTTCCTTTTGTAACGATCTTGAGTAACATATAACATTTATCCTCACTTTAGCATCTTCAAATCTATTTAGCAGTCTTGTTGTTGAAATAGGTGATTTGCATTGAACGCGCAAAGCCCTCCTTTCAATCGAAAACAATGTCTTTACCTACCCTAATGTTGTATATACATATATGCTAAAATGTAATAATCTATTTTTTCCCTTGCAGGCACAAAACAACAGTCATGAAGAAAGCCAGACGATGGTTTCTCATAACGGCGTGTAAGTATCTTACTGAAAATAATTTATATTAAACTCTTTGGTATTGATTAGGAATTGTTGATGTCTTTGTAGAAGACTTTCACATTTCTAAGTAACATTTTACTCATTAAGAACTTTTCCAAGTATATGTACTTACAAGCTGCAGGTACTCGCTTTAGCGGTTATAAAGCGACATTTTTATTAATTATATCCTTCATTATTTTTACTGTAAAATAACGGATATCGTTATTCCTCTCTCAAAGAAACCCTATTGCAAAAAATTGGGTCAATGAATTTTCACTGGCTTCTCTAGAGGTCAATTCTTCGCCAGCCAAATCATTCGCCTTAGACAGAAACAGATGGTAATCCTGTCTCGGAAAACATTTATGCCGTCTTATTACCCTTCGACTACGACGGTACTTTCTTTTGACGATGCTGTAAATAGTCCACTTTTCATCGCCAGTCATCATTTGCTTCAGAAATGAATCGGTTTTATTACGAATCAGCAGCGATTCGTGGATAAGGGGTCCATGAGGTTTTATTTATCGTTAACTCACGTTCATGTCGTTCTTTGTGAATTCAACGTTTTCTAGGTGGTTCCAAACTACTCACAGCATTTGCATTTTATCGACATTTTCGACGATTGGCCTTCTACACCTTGGGGCATATTTTACATCAAAATTACCGTAACGAAATTGGCGAAAAGAAAATTGTGCATGATTAATTGCTACGGTATCAGCAGTATTCACATAAACAGTATTCCCTTTTTCAGCTACCTGGCTATTTGAATCAATTTCAATTTAAATAATTTCTTTCTTTATTTGTTTTTTTTTTTCAAAGTTGTCAATATAATTTAAGTGAAAGATTAGTTGGCTTTCTAAGCGCTTACTCTTTAAGCCTTTAAATTGACAAATAGAATTGAATAGAATTTTCTCACAAAAAGTTATCTTAAGTTAAGTTCGCATTTAAAAAAAATAAGTTATTGGAATTTATTTTTGTTTAACTTTTTTGTAAAACTTTTCAATTCAAAAGTGAAAGGATTTCTGAATATTCCAATAATGTCTCATATTTGATCTTATTTATATTTTACATTTGCAGCTCTGTTAATGCTAGTGACGGACATAGCAGCAGTGGCGCCGTTCAAAAAAGTTTCAATTGCCACAACATCTGCGACAACGACAGCAAAAACCACAAGCACTACAACGGAAGCACCGAGCAGTGAAGCGACTGTAAATATATAATTTGAAGTTATTACAAAAATTATGAATATGACTTTAAACACTTACAAATGTACATAAATTAAGTTATATTTCTAATGGTTATCATAACAAACTGAGTAGATCGTATAATGAAGTTTTCAGCACTATGCTATTGACTTTCTTATTTCTATACCCGCGTCACTTTTGCTTCATTTTCAAATCGTGCGCTAATTTCTTCATTCTCCATTTAAGTCCATGCACTAGTAGGGCATTCTACGCTTTTAAACGGCGAAAGTTTTTCTTCTTTTTTCGCTTTTAAATTCAACATTCGTTGTAATATGAAGGAGAATAAAGTAAAGAATATCTTCGGAAAAACGGCTCTGCACATAAACTATTGTTGGTTTATATGTTTTCACTTTTAAAATGTATTAAACAGAATTTTCGATTTGCAGGGAAATTTTTTCGGGTTCGCGTCTAAGTCTTTTGTTGTAAATTTTATTGTTTGGCTGATATATTATTAATGCTATGTTAGCAACTTTTTAAGACGTCAAGAAAAGATAAAAAAAAAAATTGAAATGCCACCAGAAGATTAATCGTTTGTTTGGGGTAGCCAAATGATAAGAAGTTTGATTTTGTAAATGAAGAAGGCAAAAATTGACATAATATATCCGTGTGACTAACATTTTTCTTTCAGACTTGGTTTTGTGGCTTACAAAAGGAAAATATTTCTAGTTCTTTAATTTAATTTTAATTTCATTTGTATTTGATATGTCACAAGTGACATTTGCGATATTAATGTTAAATTCTTTAATTGAGAAAAATACACTTACATATATGACTTCCCTGAGGGGCTTAAAAAAAATTAAAATAAAATAATTGAAATGGTGATTTACATGTTTTTTTTAATATTTGCTTGATGCAAAAAAAGTTTTTAAATAAAATTCTTATTTTTTTTTGCACTTTGAATATAATTTATGGATTTGCCTAAAGAGCGCTGATTTGAATATGAAAATTTTACGAAAAAACAGATTTTGCAGACCAAACAAATTCCAAAAAAGTTTTTTCTAGTTTTCTTTTTAAGTCCTTAATTTGCTAATAATTTATATGTTTGGCTTGATAGCATTACACACATGTGTACGGGAGTTATGGTATTTTATTTGATTGATTTGTTTTTGTAGAATAATATGTATTTCATTTGTTTTTATTCATAATTTAAGTCTGACGGCACAGCGACGGGTACAACGAAAAATTCCAAGCTGACTGGTATACCACAAATCGATTATATTTGGGACCCAAATTTGCCACGCGAACTGAGAGGGTAAGTTTCAGCCAAAAAGTACACTTAGAAACAAATAACTACATATTTTTTTTACACAAATATCTTTAGCTACAATCTCTCGAGTTATCCCTTCTTCTCGAATGTGCCACCAGAGGAGGATATTCATTTCAAATGTGATGGTCTGCATGATGGTTTCTATGCTTCCATTGAACATAAATGTCAGGTAAATATGCGTACAGATACACATATATATATATATACGTATATAATTACTATTTTCCACAGCCAAGAATCTAATTGCGTACTTAAATAAGTTTGCATGTTTACGAACTCTAAATGACCTTGACCCATTAATTAACATTTTAATGAGATAATGAAAAAATCTCTGTATAAACATTTTCATCAGCGCACAATTTTAGTTTGGTTGATAATGTGGTACTGTGTAGTAGCCGCAGGTAAATTGCTTGTAATTCGACTTTTTACCAAAATTACATTATCATCAACACAAAACAGTTCAAATTTCAAGTCCAGCAGCGTTGCTTTGCCAAACCATGCTTATGCACATATATGTGTATGTATTAAATTGGACATACTTACGAGTACATATTATATATATTTCATGCGTGATTTGGAAAATTTTCTCAAACTTACGATCAGCGGGCAACACAATTTAGCAATGAAACCAACAAACTTAGTAAAAATGAAAGCAGAAGCCTTTTACTAAGCCATAGTCAAATGCACTATGTATGCATGTACGAGTATGCCAGCATATGTATGTATGTAGGACGTATACGTATAAAATTCGTTAATAAAAGTACAAATTTGTACGATCGTTGTTTTGGCAGTTGCTGAGCGTCAGTCTAGCGTCAGTCTATTGACTAGTATTTCAGAAACCAGCTACCTTGTTGATCTTGACCTCAAAACTTGTGCACCTGCTACCTTTATACGTCTTTGACTGTGTTTTGCTTTCGATTAAGTCTTTTGCAAATTTCAAACTTTTTCTCTTCTCGCTTATAAAAATGTAGACGATTTTTGGGTAATTTTTAGACACTGACATTGAAACGATTTACTCAAGTTGATACGTAAACTGTTTTTGAGACCAACTTACGCACTCATTTAGTGGCTACCCAAAGTGACGGCGAAATAATAACGAGTGCTAACTCATTCTTATTTGAATATTTAATAATTGTGTTGTTTTGTCTCGGACATGTCACTTCTTGTCTTTTCATTTATTTCTTTTTACTGATTAATACATATTTTCTAAACATTAAATAAGGACTAAGATCGTTTATTCTTACAAAGCAGCAAATAAAGTGGGTTGTTTGGCTAATCTAAATCCCTTTATATTATATGAGTATATAAGGTGGGCGCTTTGTAACCGCTGACCGCTGAACCGGTGATCGCAATTGGAATTTAGAATTGTCTATTCGGTTTTCAATTAAAAGCGAACCAGCGATCAAAAAACGAAAGCAACTGATAATGAGGACTTTAATTCCATAATACGGATCATTTTCTTTTTAAAAATTCAAAAAATCATAACCACATAGCCATCAGTCTTTGCTTCATACTTCAGCCATGACCTTTCTAAAATGCATCGTAGCTCCGGCGATATACTCATACATATAATATTGTGCGAGTGGTATTACTGATAGTGCCAAGATGAGTTTACTTACATATTATATTTTTCCAGGTGTATCACCACTGTGTCTATGGTATCCGACATGACTTTCTCTGCGCCAATTTTACTGCCTTCGATCAGCGAACATTTATTTGTCACTTCGTGTCCGATGTCGACTGTGAGGGTTCGAAGAACTATTGGAACAGGTATCTAAACTAAAAGGATATTATATTAGTAAATTGTAATTTCACAAACTTTTCTACAGAAATGATGATCTCTATATGGCTACCACAACAACAACGACGACAACAACCACAACAGAGCCGCCGCCAACGCCCCGCAGACGGTTAGTGCGACCATTACGACCTTTAAGGCGTCCAATAAATCGCCGACCAATAGATGATTACTATTATGATGAAGAAGAGGAACCTGTGGCTGCATATGATGATTACTACGAGGAACCGCGGAATCGTCGACGCAAACCACGTCCACGACAACGAAAACCCATAGCGGAATATGAAGAAGAATATAGCGATGAGAAGCCACGGTAGGTTGGGGTCTATATTAAAATTTATTTTAAGAATACAATATGTATTAACGTTTTCTTTAGGCGTCACAATCCACGTGATCATTTACGTGATGAAGAGGAATTAGAAGAAGATTATGATGTTGATCGGCATAAATATGATCGGCCTAACTCACGCGTCAAGCCGGGAGATAGGCGCAAAACTGGCAGTCGGAAATCGACCACGGCTGCAGGTCGTTTAGGTGCAGATGAAAGACGCAGTTTAAGTGAAGATCGTCCACTGGCCGGTCGCAAGGACAAATCACGAATAACACCATCAGTAGAACCAGCCGATCCGGTAGAATCTCCGCCGCGTCGCTTAAGTGGAAGGCGTAGAATTAATGAAAAACGTACGTCGCAAACTAACAGTGATGACCTAGACGATTATGCGAAACCACATGAACATGCACCGGATCAGGAGGAGGCTGCCGAAGAAGAAGCGCCACCGAAAGTAAAGACAACACCGAAACCACTGGAAGAATTCATTACACCAAAAGCAGGTATTGGGTCTGTTTATGCGCGCCCACGAGCACCACCACGTATCGCACGTCCAGTGCCTCTTAATGAGAAGAAAAAATTCCAATATCCAGTACAAAAAACAGGCACCACGCCCAGTCCCGAATCTACACATGCAAGTGAAGACGACTATTATGAAGAGGAGGTATACGATGATATACGCCTGCATCGGGTTCCACCTCGTAGACGTGTTGTAGACAGTAAGCTTGATGAAGAAGAAGAAGTGCCAAGTACGAGAAGACGGAATCAAAACGACACACCGTTAATTAAAAAACCTTCCCGAACAACCATACGACGACCCACAACAGAGAAAAAGCGTGTGCCAGTAGTAGATGAAGAAGACTACGATAGTGTTGGTGGTGCAGCTATTGAACCCGTCGATGCCCACACCAGCGCCCGTAGACGACCGTTTAACACTCGTAATCGCAGCTCATTTGGTCCACCCGTTGGGCGCGGGGCTGACGATGTTGACTTTGTCGATGACGACTACGAAGAACGACCATTGCGGCCAGCCAACCGCCTGAGACCGAAAGCAGCAGCACGCAAAGGCACCAAGAAACCGCGGCGCCCCATTGAGGAGGAAGATGTGTACGAAGACGAACCTGAACCACAAGTACGGAATCGTGCCAGTGTAAACCGGCCTAGAATAGGCACCAATGCGCGTTTACGACAATCCACAACGACTACAACAACAGCAGCAACGATTGAAGAGTCAGCAGCTGATGCCGAGTTAGACGAGGAAGAGGAAGAACAATCAGCGTCCCCAGCGCCAAGTCGACCAGCCGGCCACTCGCCCTCTGGGCGGACAGCAACGGTACGTGTTGTTAAGCGCCCATTTTTGCCTTCGCGCGGTGGCAGCCCTTATCTTCCACGTGGCCTACAACCGGTTGGTGTAGCTCTGAAGCCACTCGGCACCCACACAACAGACAGCACGCCCATTGACATGGGATCTACAATATCGGGCGTACGTCTACTTGAACATGGTGCCCCGATATTGCGAGATTCTGGTAGCGCTACAGCTCCGATGAATACTCACATTGTACATGACCCAAACGGCTACGAACGCGAGCGCGAACGTGACGGGGAGAGGGAGAGGGAGCGAGACCTGCAATCACCTCAAATTCATCGTACAACTTTTCCACCGCGTAGCGCATTGCCAGCATCTCAGGCCCGACCAGAGCCTCAGCCTAAAATCACATTAGATGAGCTCTACGAAAATGACTATGACGTCACGCTGAATGACGCCCTCAATCCGACGCTTAAACCGCTTTCGCAGCATCACAGCAATCATCCAAATCACCATAGCGCTTATGAGAATGCATATGCGTCTGAGTCGGGCGTCGGTACATTTGTCAATAACAATAATAATAACAAATCACCCACAACACTTTATCATAATAACAATAGCAATAATAATAATCAATATCATCAGCAACAACAACATAAACACCACCTAAATTCTTATCAAACTAAATCACAAATCTCTCCATCGCTTAGTCAAACACAAACTCATTTCGAGCCGCTTCAAATTTCCAAATCATTACAATCGCAAATTCATCATCAATCTGAACATATGCTTGCACAACAACAACAACAACAACAACAACAACAACAAACTAGACAGCAACCACAACAGCCCCGACAGCAACATCAACAACAAAGTGCTTATAATGACTACAATAGTGACGATTCATATTTCTCACCAACAGATATACGAAGGCGCGCGGTCATCGCAGCGCCACAGCAACCGTATTCCAGCCGAACGGACTACAGAAGCGTCGGCATGAGAATAGCCCAGCACTTCTATGATGATTTGGAATACTAAAGGTTAGAATTGAAGGGCAAATATATCTATTGTTAAAGCGCTTGTGTTCATACATACATAAATACATATGTATTCGTTATGTAGCTGTACATGCTTGATACATAGTTTTGTACAGATAATATGCATGTAAATGTATGCACTACTTACAAATTCATGTACATATATATATATATATGTATGTACATAACAGTAAGTATTTTGAGTATAAAATACTTGCTATTAATTTTTCATATTTAAAATATGTATATATTTATTCGCTATTGCACGATTTCACATTTCACTCATTACTACAAGGTGCTCTCCTACATGGTTCGAAGTCATTAGGTTTCCATCTCTGTACAAATCCAATTTGTATACTCATTAGTTTCCTCACCTTTTACTTTCCCAAATGAACTATTACAATATAACAAATACAAATTACTACAACTTATGTAAATGTGTCAATAGTTTTTGAATATTTCAATCATTATTTCGCATTTTCCAAATATTAATTTTATATTTTGGCCCATTTTTCCATCGTTCACAAGCAATTTTATAGATTTTTATAGAAAAATTGTTAAGTCTTAATGAGAATTTTGCTTACCCTTTCACTTTAAGGTCGCTCTAAAAATGTATATAAGAGTATTTTGAAACAGCCACACTCCCCAGCAACACGCACACATACACACAGCACAGCACAGCAAAGCACCGCACACGCCTGGCAACATGTTGATAACAGTTTCTTAAGAAAATGTACAGACGCTGATTCGCCGATAAAGTCTTTCAGCATAGAAATCTGGAAACGTTTACAATATTTAAAAACAGGATAATAAAAAAGAATTAAGAAGCAAGTGGCGTTGCAAGGTGAAAAAAAAAATTAGCAGAAAAAACTATATATGTGTGCATTATTAACTTTTAGTTTAAAAAGTGAGCAAATTAAGCTAAAATTTTATGATACAAATAATATGTAATAAAATACTCAATTTTCGTGATAGCCAAAGGCAGAATTCTAAAAATTTTGTCTTATACATAAATAATGTGTGTTTTTGTTTTATTTTATTTTTTATGATTATTTTTAATTTTTTTTTCTTGTTTTTTGTGTTTTTTGCATAAGTTTTTATTTTAATTAATTATTATATTCACATTTAAATGCTTTCCTAGTGATCTTTGTTTAGATGTGTCTTTCTAATTCGCTAATTGTTCTTAATGTACTTTTATTTTGTAAATTATTATGTACTGAACTCATTTACAATTGTATTAAAACGTCTTGTACAATTGTTTTAAAATAGACACAACTTTGTACTGTGCATACATACATATATATTGTCAATTAACGTAACTTAAATGTTTAAGCATTTTTATTTTTTATTTTGCGAGTTGCGAGGTTTTCGAATTCCCTGAGAGAATCATAAAAATATGTGCCCCTGAATAGACGAAATTGAATTATAAAACAAATCAAATGTTAAATAAAAATAAAGGATTGTACTATTTTAAGACTAACAAATGCGTAACGTGTATTATGAATAAAATGACGCAGTATATTTGCTCTAGATATGTCTATATTTGGATTTAGAAATTCAGTTGCCGCATTACTGGAGACAAATTTTCAATGCTTCAGCCTCTTCTTCCAGATAGTCTAGTTTTTTCATTAAAATAATCTGTAAATAAACGGATTATTTACTCATGGTTAATAATAATCTCCCTATAACGACAATAATTTTATTTTTTATCAATACTATTAGTAAGATCTTGGCATAAATGATTAAATATCTACCTTAGCCGCTGAGATGATTTCTTTAGCTATTTTCATTGGCATATGTTCCACTGATCTTACTAAATTAATTGGTTTACATTTGGCTATATCTTCGATTGTCTTGAAGCCAGCGCTATACAATTGCTTAGCACGATTCTAAAATTCGAAAAATATTAACTATACAAACACAAATTGTTTCATATCAATAGTCATACAATTTTAACCGCTGGTAAATCAAGTAACGGCTCCAACTCCATCGTCCCACAACGGTCTAATTTCGTGCCGATTCGTTCGAACAATGCTTTATAACACCAAAAGTCTTCCAATTGGTCACATAAACGCACTATTGCACTAGCTGCTGCAGTTGATTGATTTATAAGCGTTTGAAGGATGCCACGTTCCACTTTAAAGCGTAACGCTACTCTGGGTAATGGTTTCAGGTTTAAAATATCAATCAGTACCAATACCTTATAGAGTCGATTCAATTTCAATTCCAGCGGTCCTTGTACGGACATTGTTTTTGCCATTTTCACGGCGATGGCTTCATTGAAACCAAGCAGCCGGAATAGTGTTTGTGTTGTCTCATCCAATGACATATATATTCGATAGAGGATTCCCGCATCAGCTGGAAATAATTCATCACCTTTTGCATTTGAATTGAAACTCACCACTAAATAGAGTAAATGTGCATAGTTTGTTAATATTAATTGCTTTTGGGCGAATTTCAGCTCATCGTGTATTGTATAAGTACGTTTGTAATCAATGCCTGCTTTAAAGGCAGCGCGACCAATGTCTGTCAACTGGAAACGCGTGGATTTACTGACGAAAAGGCGCCGATGTTCCTGCGATGAGCGGTTGGTGTGATTTTTCACATCTTGTGTGGTAAGTATGCCCGAAGTGTTACGCTTGCCCGCTGCAGCTGGGGAACATAATTCAAGTATTTTGTTTTTGAACAACTCGCGTATAAGATTTAGAACCATTTCCTCAGCTGAAAGTTGTAATTGCGGCGCTTGCACCGAAAGCAAAGTACTACCCACCAAACGATACAAGTCGTTACGGCATGTGGCAATTTCTAAGCCAATCGCACTTAATACTAAACTCTGTGGAAGATTTTGGTTGATAGATTTTACAGTAAAATATAGATTTGCATATATGTTAGTATCTGCGTACCTGCAAACCAACACTATTTTCGATATTCAAAGAAGATATAGCTTTGTCCATTGGCGAGAATAGCATTTCGCCAACACGTATATTGTCCCGACTAGTTGTTATGAGAAAGCTCTCACCAGCTTCACCCATACCAGCGCGTCCAGCACGTCCCACCATTTGTTTGTAGCGACAAAGTGTCATAAAATCAGAACCCACATACGGTGCACGTATTATGACACGCTTGGCAGGAAGATTAACGCCTGCCGCCAAAGTGGACGTACAACAGATTACACTTAATACACCAAAACGGTATGCAGTCTCTATGAATTTCCTTTCATCGATGGTTAGACCGGAATGATGATAGGCTATGCCGTAAGGTATAGTTTTGGCCAAGACCTCACCGAGTACGCCACACACTTTATCCAATGCATCCATCAGATCATCCTTTTCACGTTTGCGGTGTTCCACGAATTTTCTGTAAGGTTTCAAATAGGTGAAAAAACATGTACCTAACAAAGCTTATTTCAAATACTTTGGTAAAATATGGCTTAAGAGTAAAGCGACATTTTCACAATTTTTACGCGACGGACAAAATACGAGCACACAATGTTGCGGTGCGCATTCTGCGACTAATCCTCCCAAGTGATCTGGATCGGACCGTGTTACAGATTCGTTATACTGAAAAATCCAAGTGAAAAACAATTATAATTATATACCAACATATATACTAATTTCCTTAGCTCACATTAAAGTCAACGCTGCGGTTGTAAACAAAAACTTCCTCTAATGTTTTACCAGAAGCGTTTATCTCCAATATATCATTGCCACATTTTATATACTCCTTAAGCTCAACTGGTCGAAAACTGCGTGTATAAACATCGGCTTTTAAAAATGTAGAAACTTCCGTTAAATTGCCAATAGTTGCACTCATGCCAACAATTTGTATATTAACTGAAATATTATGCAAATTTTTACAAAGCTGAATAGAATTATACAAATGTGTTGAACTACCATCTATAAACATAATCTTGGTAAGTAAAGCCTCTAGCGTCGCACCTCGCCCTTTTTCACCTATCAAATGCAATTCATCTACCACAACCAAACCTATTTCATCAGCTCGTTGTGCCTCAATTAAACTGTCCATTAAAACGGCGCCTTTTTCTATGGATGCTATGAAAATACTTTTTCGCTTTTTTCGCTTCATTGGTGGACATTTTCCTTTGCCAGCAGTGTATTCGTCTACAATAAAGTTCATAGCTATCGCAAATGGTGACATAGCGCTGACCTAAATTTTAAATTGATTTAAAGTTTTCTTATAATTTTTATAAGTTTTACCTTTTCTTGCACTATTGAGACGTACGGTAGTATAAAGAGTACATCCTTCTCCCGACACAATACCTCCCTAAGCATTAATATTTCAGCAACTAGTGTTTTACCTCCACTTGTTGGCAATGCATAGATTAAGTTCTTTCGCTTATGAATTGCTGGTAGATTTAAGCATTCCTCCTGCCATTCTGCAACACAAAAGGAAAATAATATATTATTATTTATATACAAAAAAATAACATACATACTTATTTTATAAATTCATTACTCACCATACAAAGATTTAATACCCTTGTGCTCAAATATCATTCGTTTTACTTTGTCGGGCAATCCAAAAAAATCTCCTTTGCTGGGAAACTCATTTTCCAACTTATCTGAGAACACTTGAGAGTCCCAGTCCAGTCTTGAAAGATTTGTTAGCACAGTAGTATTTGGCAAATCACTGTGTATTGCATATTGGGAACTACATAAATCAGACTCAGTCACTGTAGTTGCGCTGAAGTTTTTCTTTATTGGCGGGGGTACATCTGGCACTTTAAATATAGCGACGTCCTCTAAAAACCTCTGAGAATTTTGAACGCCCACCTCATCTATAACCCTTTGTGTAAATATATCTTTTCCATCAACCTTCGTCAAATCATCAATTTTTATATTGGCAAAGATGGAGTCATCTATCTTTAGTTGTTTTGGACTATCATCAACTTGCTCACTATGTAAATTAATAGTATTGAAAATGCTGTCATCCGCATCATCGTCATTAAAGTTTTTACTTTTTTCCGTACTAAACTGAGTTGAGTCCTTATTAAGTGATTTATTTACAATAGAGTTCTTGTTTGGACTGCTAAATAACTCTAGAGGTGTGTCATTAAAAAGATTTTCGACAGTCGAGACAGTTAAAAAACTTTTATCGGTGGTGGTAGTGGATAATAAATTAGTAGTTCCATGACAATGAATTTTATATTTACAACTTGACATTGCATCATCTAGTATAGTCTTTGATAGAAAAGTATCGTCCTTGAAATTGCTTAATTGAAAGCTGCTACTTGGCGTATGTGCACAAAATAAGCTGGTATCAGATTCAAGACTACGTAAGACGGAAGCGTTTTCATTTTCAACATGGTCCGCGGAAAGTTTCCAGTCGGTAGCAGAATTTAATTTCGAAACTGTGAAAAAACTATCCTCTTCCTCTTCGGGCCAAAAAAGATTTTCCGTTTGGTGTATGGCACTCGAAGAATTTGTATCCAAACGTTTCCTTTTGCTTGTTACCTCGGGCGACTCCCATTGAGCTTTTCGTACGTTTTTCGACATTTACATTAAAATTTTAAGCTTTAACTTTAAATATAAAATATGTAATGAATAATATTTAAACTTTTAATAATTCACAAAACCTTCAAATTGTTCTTCTTTGAATAGTTTTGAACTCGCGCTAATAAAAAAAATACTCATGTAAATAAAAAAACATATGATTTTTGACATATCAGTTCCGTCCGCGTACTACAGAAAAAGTTGGAAAATTTAAATGTAACATAATTTTAATTATAAATCAAAAAGCATTGATGCAATTTTAATAATATGAAGGGTAGAAAATTATACAATTATTAACAAACCTAAAGGAAATGTTTAGTGTTTTCAAATTAAAAAAAGTGAACACTGTCAGTAATACCAATTAGCAAAACTTCAAAAATAAAAAATCAAGTGCTTCCCAATTCATTTATAAAACTAATTTCCATTTGTCATTTCCTATTACTAAGTATTATCTATTTCCGTATTGTCAACGGTTAAAAACGAGCTCAAAGAAATAACCTCTTTTTTTATGATATCATAAAAGAATTAAGTGAGTACAATTGAAATTTCTCCAAAAAACGCATTATAATTAATAAATAGAGTTATTACACAGCAGAATGGCACCTCGTGAAAGTATATTTTCTAATCTTCCGCCCTCCATCTCTGAAGTAACGAAAGCTATTGAAAAAATAGAAGTACTAGTTGCTGCAAAAAAGCTGGTAGGATTTGACCTTGAAATGATATTTAGTATACTAAATATTTAAATTTTTTAAGAAATCCAAACTGTTCTATGATATGTTATTTGGATTTCGTGTGTTAGAGGAGGCAATGCAAAATGAACAAACGGAAGCTTTCAATCTGGTCATAAAATGGCTTGACCTATTTTTGGTAAGAAGATATGAGAAGTTTCTAAACAATGTTATATCGAATATTATAATAACGTTTGAATTATATCAATATAACAGAAAATTCAAACTAATATTTCAAGTCAAAACGATGTCATACACTCCCAGTTTGAAAAAGTTATCCCTTCCGCTGTGACATATATTATAGGTTGTCTGCAATATAAGGCAAAAGGAGTAATCTCTTATCATTACCAGCTTTTGGAAATGATACACGAGTTATTGAATAAGGCACGGCCAGAAGTACTTGAAAAGTTGGCAACTTTCGAAACGGGTGTGATGTGAGAATTTTATATTGTTTGAGGTATTTTGAATTGTTATATATTACCAAATAAATTTTGTTTTTTCCAGTGCTTGCGTTTGGTTTCCAATTGGTTTTGTTGGCGACTTTAACACACAAATGATGGCTTTGCGTTTATTAGCGATGCTATTAAAATGTGTTGATGCAGCTCGACTTCAAAATGAACTAGATAGCATTCGTTGTGCCGATAAATCTATTTTAAAAAATAAACTAACCGCTGCGATAGCAGTTGCGAATTTTCACACAGCTAAGTTCGAAAATGTAATATATTATATTTTATTCTTAGCCTAATTTTACTGTTATGATTAACTTAGTCTTTTAGTACATAACATATGTGCATACTCTTACTCGTATACGTACATTCCTAAACTGAAGCATTAATTATCTGTTTCTTTTAGACTGCGAGAGATTTACTGAATACATATAATATGCATTTGGCTCAAAATATACTTGTTTATTCGTTTCGTTGTAAAACTTTCAAGTTTGAAAACAATATTGAATTTTTTAAACCTATGGTAAGCGTAATAACTCTAATTTGTAACCAGTTTTATTTTCTTTTTTTGATATTCTTAGAATGCCGAAAGTTTCTGGTTGGATTTAAATTATTGTCCCCGAACTCTCTCGTTCCATGGTCAATGTAAAACTAGCAGGAACTCTGGATATAGGAATTGTTCAGTGAGCCTGCAAATTACAAAGCTTTCACTGTAAGAACTTTCGCAAACCGCTCTTGATATTTTATATATTTATCTTTATATTTATTTTTTTTATTTTTTGCCTTAAAATAGTAGAAATTTGAATCTCACCGTAGAGTTTCAAGCACCCATTAAATTTACTGCCGAATCAAGATATTTTCCCAACTTAAGTAATCTGACTGCTGCAAAAATTACTTTGCCGAGAGACGAGTCTATGCGTTTAATGGAAAATAAATATATTTTAAGATACTTTAATGAATTTCAACGGTCCATTTCACCAAATAGGAGTATGTCGATTATTAAATTACATGATACATCGACCCCTGTACAACTAGCAAGTCTTACTGATGAACCAATAGCCGACGAGGCTTCTCCTTCAGCCATTGACAAACCTTCATTTGGCACCAACAAGGATTACTCTAATATCGAAGATATAGAAAACAAAGAAAATGTACCACCGACAGATACCAATAGGAACAGACCAGGAACTGATAATACGAATTCCAATATGATTTCCAAACAATTTCAAAAAAGTTATGAATTATTGATAGGAGATCGTCATGAAAGCAACTTTTTATGCAAAGTAAAATCTAAAGTTGAAAATAAAAATAATAATCAGACAATTGCATTGACGAGTATGCAAGCCGCTGCAACACCAACAACAAACATTGATAAAGAAGTCAATAATGAAACACCTAAAAATAATAAGATGACGAGAAATACTCGGCGAAAAATAGTTAATTACTCAACATCTACATCTGAATCCCAGCTCACTTCTCAAAATTTTAAGCAACCACAAAAACGTTTTTTTAAAACTCAAATTTCGAATTCTGACTGTGAATACGTACCGTATAAAACAAAACGAGTTTATCGAAAACACAAGCATAGGTTTGAATAACGCAACGAATAACATATTACGTTAGTAACTAACATATCTTTCTTTGAACAGAGCTACAAAAGAAAAAACCCCCAAGGCTGCAACAATAAAGTCTAAAATAGTAAACGAAGTCAAGCCAATGCTAAATTCCAGTAAAGAATTTGATAAATTAGCTGGCGACTTTAGCGATAATCATGCACCCAGGGCAACAGCCATTATTTCCAATGAAAGAAAAATGAATGGAACAATAATAGACCTCACTGATACATGCTTGTCTGATTTGACCACTAATATTTATGAGAATCTCGTCGTTAGTGATGCAGAGCCGGGAAAATCTTACCGTAACTTTACGCTTAGACGTAATCCAATTGATTTTGAAAATGCTGTCGTCGAAAAACAAAGATCTCGAAAGGCATTAAAACGTTCTGTAAAAGAAGATAATCCACCTGAGATAAGGCCGCAGACATTATGTGCACAAGTCAAATCCGTAACTAAACGCTCAAGGGTATGTACTAGAAACTGCGAAAAAATGCGTTTGTATATATAAGTATATTATAAACAAAAAAAATGTATAAATCAAAATATCGTAAATGATAGACATTTTAGTTTTGTTAGACTTTGCTGTTTTTGTTGTTGTAACAACCAACTACTGTAGATACAGGAAATTATATAAATTTGCTCAAAAACTCAACATTATATCCCACAATACATCTCCAATTTTGCATAACTGTTACAGCAGCAACACTGCAACCATTCCAAAACTTTTAACACTAATTTGAATATAATGTATATTTACTTTTAAATTGTAATTTAAACTATATGCAGACCTATTTCATTTGTCATTGATTATATATGTATATATATTCTTTCAAAAGAACATATTTGATGCAATCAAGAGAGAAAAAATTTCTCCACCGAAGATCAAAAAAACGGTAACAACTTTATCTAATGAGATTGAGATTGCCTATCCGGCGGATGTAAATATATGTACTTCCTCTAATCAAAAATTTTCCGATGATGTGCTCCGAAGTTGCACATCTACTAAGCTAAGGAATATTCCTAAACAAATACTTTCGAAAAATCAAAATTCAATAAAGGAGCTACCAATAACTGAACCAAATGTGAACGAGGTACCCACAACTTATTTTCAAACATTTGAAAATACTTTCACCAACAATAAAGAAAATGAAAATAATATTCCCTACAATTCATCCAAAACAACAGTTGTCGGCAAATTAAATGAAGGCTTAAGTGATGATATACAAGTTTGTCGCCGGGACGTAACGCAAAATAATATCTCCAACGTAAATGATTATGATGAGTTTAGCGATTACCCAACATTTTCACCTTTAATTGATGTCTCTAACATGATGATTTCATCGGATTGTGAATCAGCTCCAGATGTTACTGTTGAAACATCTCGATTAACATCGACTAACAACAATTTACTAACCACACCTACACAAGAAATGTCTCCGGATCCACCTTTTCAAATACGTGAAGCAAAGAAATTAAATCCACAAAAAAGTGTAATTTATTGTTCACGCTCAGAAAGTGATAGCGATAGTGATAAGGAATGTACTACAATCTCAAATAAGGTACCAGAAGTCAGATCAATGCAACCCTTGGAACTATCCAAACATGTTTTTTTAACACCAAAACTTCCTTTACAAAATTTTCGACAAACCACTAGCGTTACGAAATGCCAAATTACTACAACAGCAACTTCTATAATCACACATCAAGATCATGTTATACATCAACAGAATTTCATTGTTAACTTAGATACCTCATCGGACACTCCGCTTAATCTCTCAAAAAGTTGTTCGCGAGCAACTACAAGTACAACAACCACAACAAAAACTATAGTAGAAGAAAAGCAAGAATTGAATATAAGTAATTCGAACCAGAACCATATGAATATTACGGCGCCAACACCAGAAGTTCTAAAACACGGTATTTTATAACGTTTATATATATATTTATATATGCATATATATATTCCTGAACTGATCTGTCAGTTGTTCTTCTTAATTATCGTATGCACCACCATTATTGCCCAATCGAGGTTAACTTTTCTAACGAAGTAGAGGTCCTCCACCTCATCGTCCTCTTCTGTCAGTATATGCAGGATATAATACTTTCAAGGTTCGGTCGATCCGTCGAAACAGCTCGTTCTCTAAGCCTAGTTGGATCGCCTTAAAAACATTGTCTACATTTGCCTACTAATAAACTGGTTTACCTAACTGCTACAACACCAATAATGGAATTCTTGAGCGAATCTTAGGGCTTTTTGTTGTTGTTGCTGTAGCGACACGTTTAGTCAATCTAAGGCACCGAGGTCATCTAATGGGAGGTCCAGGAAACGTGTTGTTTCGACGGAATTGGACTAGGGGGAGAAGGCGGTTAGATATGTCGGCTTAAGGAGGCATGTGAAGAAATAGTTAATTTCGTGCGGAGACTCCCCACATGCAGGGCATACGTTAATGTTGGGCTCGAGTCTGGATAGGTAGGAGTTTAACCTGCTACAGCAAGCTTGTAGGGCTTGATCTTTAGTGGTCGGAAAAGTTTTTACTTTGCTATAGTAACTTTTCTAGATAGATAGTACTTTGCAATCTGCACCGAGTTGTTGATGAGAGCTTTTAAAGAGCAGGAGTGCAAGTCGAGCGAAAAACAGTTTTTGTTTATTGTGACTAGGTCCAACGCTCCTTACATTTGTTAACGGGCGTTCTTAACTCCTTGTCGACGTTAGGTTGTTGCTATCAAGAAGACAGAGAGTTAAGGCTATTCTTCTTATAACCAAATATGGATAGAGCTAAACTTTTTTTTCCTTTTCCCAGAATCTTCAAATATGATTGCCAATTACAAAAGTAATTTAAATCTGCACCTAAATCAGATTGAAGAGAATATTTACATAAAACCAGCTACTGCTTATATTGAAAAAATTTGTGATATTGGTGAGAGTATGATGAATGAGATAGAATGCGAACGTAAATCACTATTGGAACTAGAGGCTAACACTGAAAGACTTTCTCGTCAACTTGGTTGGCAATATGAAGCTTTTCGGGAGAAAACTCAACAGTATAAATGGTATTGAATGACATTTTTTTTATTATAAACAACAATTAATATTAAACTTCGTACTATTCCAACTTTTATAGTTTTAAACAAAATATCGATGCACTTTTAAGTGTTATCAGTAATATTAAGTTATCAGATGAGATTGAAAGCGAAACTCGGCATAAAATTCAACAACTTCAACAAGCATCAGAATCTTTGTGTACACAACAATGGCGAAACTTTGTTAACGAAACTACAGAAAATTTACTTAAAGATATCTCCAGATTATCAAATTTGTAAAAAAAAAATTGTTGAGATAGAGATGGAGAGTTGATTATGAAATAAATTTCTTTTACCTTGAAAATATTTAATTAACTAAAAATGTGTATATTCATTATTTTACTCATTTTTCAAAAGTCATATCGTAAGTGTTTATAAACGGAAATTTAAGATTTTTAAATCAATTGAAAATATTTATTAGCTCAAATGAATCTAACAACTTTCATTTGCTTATATTTAGTAACTTTAATACCTCTTCCTTATACTTTCCTAAATTGTAAACGTTTTCCCCTTCATTTATCAATTGCTCTACGCTTTGTGCAAAACCATGATCAGCGTTCAATTTTTTTGCTTCCTCCACGGGTTGACCCCAATTAATTATTGCTTCAGCCGACTGTTTCGATTTATTTCGCTCGAAACTGTAATATTCCATATCCGCTTCCGATTTACTACTTTCCCAAGATTCCGTAACGAATGATTCATGATAACAAGCGGTTAGCAAATACATAGCATAGTCATAATTTTGTTTACGCAAAGGGCACCTGTCTGCTACTATTGTTAGAATGCCAGTGTTCGGATTATAACGATCCCCAACTAAACGTAAAAACTTGTCCTTAGCGTGGGCATCGAATTTCAAATCGGATAATTTAATATTCAATGTTACTCGTCGAGCTTCTGGGTTTCGTATGGTAGGTAGAGCGTGGCAATAGTCGGTGCTCTTGATTTCGATAGGAAAACGTTTTTCACAATTCTCCAGAGTTTCTAAGCCTTTAGGCCAAGGTGTGCAAAATTTCTTTAATGCTTCGCATTGTTGTCTTATTGCCGGTGGTGTTAAATGAAGGAAATTTGGTATTTTCATAAGTTCCGCATTGGCGAATTTCGATGGTGGGGGCGCTCCTTTTTCTGTGTAACCTTGCCTTAACGGCAGAGGCACAACAGAGGGTTGAAATGTACGTGGACCTGGCCATACTGCACTCCAATCCTGATCGGTTGCCATTTTCTGATGGCGTGGTGGTTGCACTGGCTCTTTTTTGAATACTTTGCGTTTTTGTTGAGTGGCTTGTGAGGTTGAACGTAAATTGAGCACTCTAAATTCTGAAATAAAAAATACTACATTACCATGGTTTTTTTTATAAATATTTACTGAATCTAACCTTCATCAGCAAACTCATGTTTAGTAGCGGATGATTCTTCTTCTACATGATTGCTGTATAACCGTCTAGCGCCTGCACCTGAATTACGTAAATTCCTCTCCAGTAAACGTGTTAGTAAAGACATTTTTGTATTTAGCACACTTTGGATATAGAATTTTACGTTAAAAATTGAAAAGGCATTAGTTTTTTAAGTTATAATAAGCAATTATACTGTGCCGTAACCAATCAGTAGGAAAATATTTCAAAACAGTCTATATATTTTACCAGGGTTTCGACTTTCAAACACAAATGTGGTGCACAGTGTTATCGTGATACGGAAACTGTCAAATGCCCCTATTGGAATATTTTAACAGAATTTGAAGGGTTGGTTATATTGGTTGTTCATTATAACCATTTGTATAAATTTAACATGTAATAGATTTTAATTGACAGTGCACGTTATCGCATAATTAATAATTAAGCATCTATTTAGACCTCGTGCATAATACCGATATATATTTTTAGTATTATGTATTTTATTCGTGTGGAGCCATAAGACGGGACCTGCATATAAATAAGTGACTTAATTTTTTCGTCGTAGTGACATTATCTCATGCGGCAAAAATTAGTCCTATAAAACCTGTGCATTTTTGAATCAATATAAACATAGTTTCCCTCGAGAGTGTCGCAATTAATACCGCGAAGGGATTTCACAATAAGAAACATATTCAAAACTTGTTTTCTATTGAGAAAATATTCTTTATTTTCTTATCAGTCTCGAATAAGTCACATTTCGAAGAATCTCGTCCGAATTTGTCCTATTTGGTTTAATGGTATATACGAATTAAAGAAAATAAATCAGCTGTCCTTCAAAAGTGAATTTATCAGCACTGTTCAGTTCTCTACAGTAATTGTAAATAGTATACAGATATGTAAATTGATACAACTTTTGTATATGCCAAATCAGCCTCTTCGTTGGAATCTTTTAACCTTATCTTTTATAAATAACTGTGAGATAATAAAACACAGACTGGTAAAAGTGTTTAAACGTCTATAAAACATTTTTTGCAAACAACGGCCAATAATAGTGACCTGAAAAGAAATTGTTGTTTTTACATAAAATTGATAAGATACTCCCTAACTTTATCAACTTTTACAACCTGATTACTATATTAAATAAAATGACTAGCTATTGTATTTATACTCTCTGATGCTCAAAAAGCTGTTAGTTTTAGTTCATACTTGGACAAAGGCTTATATTCCAGTACGGCACCTGGTATAATTTAATTTAATAATTAAATAATTATACAGACCTTGAAAGGGCTTCATATTTATTGTCTAAAAATAAAAATCAGTATGGGCGATCCAGGCTTAAATAGACGCGTTCTATCCATACAAAGTCACGTGGTACATGGATATGTTGGAAATAAAAGTGCTGCATTTCCATTACAGGTAAAAGTGCATTGCGCATTTGCAATATTGCATCTTTCTTTGTATGCACATACATGTAGTAGGTGTGGCCGCATGTGATATGGAGTGTTATATTTTACGACTGATATTTAAAAATTCAAACATACATATATTATTTTGCAGGTATTGGGGTTTGAAGTAGATGCTATTAATTCTGTGCAATTGTCTAACCATACCGGCTATAGGAGCATTAAAGGTCAGGTGCTGCAAGAGAAGGAATTAGGTAAGTAAAAATTAGCTATTTCCTATGATTTTATATAATCTATGATTGTTTTTCAGCTGAGCTTTTTGAAGGATTGGAAGCCAACAATCTGTTACAATGCTACACGCATTTACTAACTGGTTACACTGGCAGTGCATCTTTTTTGAGTCGAATTTCCAACATTGTATCCAAACTTCGTGAGATAAATCCGCAACTAATCTACGGTAATTTTCTTTAAATGAGTTTATTTAACGTGTGTTTGACAAATAAATTTTTGTGTAGTGTGCGATCCTGTTATGGGCGATAATGGTAAAATGTATGTACCTGAAGATTTACTGCCAATATATCGTGAAAAAATTATACCCCTTGCCGATATAATAACGCCAAACCAGTACGAAGTGGAATTACTAACAGAGAGAAAGATTTCAAATGAGAGCGATGTTTGGTCAGCTGTTCAATGGTTTCATGATCGTGGTATTGATACGGTTGTAATATCGAGCAGTGAGCTGGGCGAGGAAAATGAGTTGCGTGCATTCTTAAGCAAGAAAAATGACAAGCGTTATATATTGAATATACCCCGTCAAGGAAATGGTATATCCTTCACAGGTATTCAAGACTTATTGCATTAATTGAAACTTAAATTACGATTAATGCAATTTATTTATTTATTTATTTTTATTGTAACTGAAGGCACCGGTGATCTTTTTGCTTCACTTTTCCTTGCACACAGTCATGGAACTAATAATTTAGGTAGCACCCTTGAAAAGACAATAGCTTCACTACAAGCAGTCATAAAACGCACACTTGATTCCATGCCAGCTGAAGTGTTGTCCGGTAAAAGAAAAGTAACCGCACAAGAGTGTGAGCTTAAGCTAATACAAAGTAAGAATGTGATCGAAAATCCAGAGGTTGTGCTGAAAGCAATAGAAGTTAAAAATAAATAAACACCAGTACACTTGAGTAAACAAATATTTGAACAGAAAAAATCATTTAATGTCATGATGTTCAGTTGTCACTTTTACCAGACGCATTTTGTATAGCTTCGATTGTTTCATATGTATAAATGTATGTTATGGTTGTGTTGTAACTTGTATTGTTGTAATACATGCTTTCGAGGACAATAATAAATACTTAATATATCTTATGCATCAAAAGCATTTCTTTTCGAAATCACTGAACCTCAACAGACAAGAAAATTGGTTGTCATTTAAGCAAACAAATTTGAAAGCCTACAATAGACAGAAGTAACTATAAAAGCAACGACTTAAGAAACACTAGTTGTAAAATTAAAGAACTATAGGTGATAACGATGTGTACTTTAAAATTAATTATACTACTTCAACTGTGCGCTGTGCAGGCAATATGGGCCAACGCAGCAGATGGCGAAAATTTATCACATGCCGAAGCGGCCGCTTTACCTTATTCATTGAAAACATCAAACAGTAACAAAAATGATGAGCGATATAAATTATTAGCTATGAATTCTTTAAATGACCAAACGGCCGATCATGAGCTTGTCGAAACAAACAACAGAAATAATCTACAGAAGCGCCGAAGTGGAGATGCTTGGGATCGTTTATCATTACAATATAAAACACAACTGTCACAAGTGAATCCTGTTGACGACTTCGGTTATTATAACCCTCATAGTGTTGCACCACACACATTCCCTGCTGATGTGAGTCACTTTGGAGGAGTTGGTACCGCGCCATCTTTACCATTGGCTTTAATGCTAATAGTAAATATTGGTATACTTTTTTATTCATTTATTGGAATTTTTTCGGCTTTTCCAGCCGCTACTGGCGGACTGAATTTTAGGCTACCCTATCACCCCTACATACGGCGAGAGGAGAGTGAAAATAAATAAATTAAATACATTGTTTTGCAGTTACAGTGAGTAAGATACAATGCAAACATTTTATTTACAAAAATTCAATTTACATTTGACAAGTTCTTCTTTAGCATTAAAACATATATACACACATATTTTAATTGAATAAACCTGCTTGTTTGATGTTGTTATACGGCCAACATTAAATTAAAAAATAAAGCTTAGATTTAAGAATATGATGTATAAATACAAATCTATCTGAATGGTAAATATATTTATGTATATGTATGTGATATGATTGCTATCTATATAAATAATGTAAACTATAATACATAGACTTCCATTTAGACTGAAAATTAGTTCGGTTAAAGCCCAACTACTTTTTGACACGAAAAGAAGCAGCTCGATTTATTCGAACTAACGGTTCATTGGTATTGGAATTTACCGTGCGTACTGCTTGTCGCTTAACTATGCTGGCCGTTGTTGCTAGAGCTGTCGAATAATTAAAAATTGCAGTTCAATACCAAATTTGACTCTCTTTTAGTTGATAGTAATTCGATACTTACATTTAACCATAATACTTCTCGGACTTTTACGTACGCGCACTGGACTGAATTTTTTATTCTCCTTTTGCACACCAGCAGCTACGGTCTTCAAAAGCCCATGATGGTTGAATGTTTTCGACTTTAGCAAAGCTGCATAAAAACAATAAATATATAATTTAGATGAATGCAATTTTTTATGTTAAAAATTTAATCACCATTCTTCACGCGGTCCTTGTTCTGCGGCACTCTGGCAATTTGCTCCGACAGTATATTGTTAACCAAATGCTTTTTTCGTATTAAATTGTTACTTTCTTTACTTTCTGATACTGTTTTTATACCACTCACATCCGTATTGGTGCTGCACTCATCGTCTGTGGCACATGATAACACATGGGTTTCATCCATAATTGTACATTTGATGTAAGGTTTTTTAAAAACATCACCGCAGTCGTCAGAGTCGGTATCCTCCATAGTATCTAAGCCTAACTCAAAATCATTTGTCAACTCTGCACGTCGTGATCTATGTTTTTTTGCTGTACTAGTAGATGCAGGCAAGTCAGATTCAGTTGTTTTGTGTGTGCGTTTTCCATTTGATTTTTTCAGTAATATAGGTACTTCCAAATCTTCATCACTGTCTTTTTTATAGTCCTCTTGCCCAAAATACGCATGAGTTTTGACAAAATGCTGCAACTGTTCGTATTTTTCCTGCACATCGGTCTTTAGTTCCGAGTAAGAATTTTGTAACAATCCACATGCCACATTGAAAGCTTTTCGGAGTTTATTTGAATCCCGCAAGAATTCGGCATTTATGCCAGATATGTGATTAATATTTATTTGTTGCTTCGAATACTGGACTTCCATATCTTTACCTTTCTCATATATTTTCAAAATCTCCACATACTTGGATTCTTTAATTTCTTTTTTTAGCTTTTCTAAATCCTTATTTGCATCGTGTAACTTTCGACGCCAGCGAATAGATTCCTCTTCCAGTTTACCGATTTGTTGATTGTAAACGGAAGTGGAAGTAGGAAGTACCTTCGGGATTTTAAATTGATTTAATATTTTTAATAAAAATATTTAAGTAAATATTTCAATAATATGATGAAAAAACACAATTAAGTGCGATGTTTTTTTTTTACTCTGTAATTGGTCATTTAAATCTTGTACTATTTTTGACTAAAATCACAATAACATCAAAAATGTATTATTTGCAGCTGTTTGGTTAATAAGAGCGAAATCAGAGAGAACTTGTGAGAGTTGCTCGAAGGCAGCGTGAACAGCTGATACAAGTGTCAAATTTGGTTAATCCGCAGTCGCTGATAAAGTAATATACGCGTTGGTCCGAATATATTTTGTTGCAATTACCAATTGTATTCTGTGAATAATGTATGTAAGAAAAGTGTTTTCGATTTTGCGCTATGTGTCAACACGTGAATTACATTTCACAAATCTGAAATTGTTACCCCGTCATGCCAAAACTATTGATGCTGCACAAATTCATCCTTTAGCAAGAGTAACAGAACTACCTATCCCCATACTGTGCACCCTACAATTTCGAGGTTATGCAAAGGGAAAAGATAAGAAAAAGGAGAAAGGAAAAAAGGCTGGGAAGGTGGAGGTTAATGAAGCCCAACTCCGGGAAGTAATAAATTTTGACGCTGTGAACAGTAATATGCAGAAGGCGGTGCAGCAAATGAAGGAAGATTATATAAAGCATTTGTCTTTACGTTCAACTTCAGGTGCCATAGAAACTTTGCGTGTACACATCGATGGTGCAGAGCACGAGTTACAAGAGCTTGCACAAATTTCGCGTAAAAATCCTAAAACCATTGTGGTTAACATGATTGCTTTTCCTCAAACTATACCTGACGTCCTAAAGGCGATTGAAAACAGCGGCATGAATCTTAATCCCCAACAAGACGGTACTACTCTCTTTATTCCTATACCGAAAGTTACAAAGGAACATCGAGAAAATCTATCAAAAAATGCAAAAACTCTTTTCATCAAGTATCGCGACAGTATTCGGGATATTCAAAATAATACAATAAAAAAATTAAAGAGGCAATCTGATATATCTAAAGATGATATGTTCGCAATTCAAACACAAGTAACTGCTATTGCCGATAAGTACATATCAGAAGCGGATAAGTTACTGGCAACGAAACAGAGAGAGCTACTTGGCGAATAATAAAAATATCGGAAATTAACTTAAGACTGAATAATATACTTGCGAAATTTGAATAAAATGTTGTTAAAGAACATACATATAGTACATGTAAATTTTTCTTTTTAACTTTCAATTCACTTACCTCCTCTGAATTAACCGAATTACGCTCAAGTAGCTTGTTACAAGCTATGTTCTCTTTCTTCAACTTTTCTCGGAAATTCATACTCTTAATTTTACTTTGAGTACCAATAACATATTCCTGGGTTTTAATGACCGACGCGTATACCGCATCAATTTTACTATACCAGGCTTTTAATTCACTTTCGTTATAAGAGCGAGTAGCTTCTGAGGCTTTTTCGAGCTGAGCAACTTTTATTTTAAGACGTTCATTTTCAGCCATAAGTTCTGTGACTTTCTTTATATAGAAATCTTTTGGCATATTAGATTTGAGGACGTTCTGCTTAAGTGTTGTTCGAATTTTCTTTGCTCGGCTAGCATACTGAAACGTATAAAAATAAGTATATATATTTTTTGATTGAAAAAAATCAGCTTTTTATATACCTTCAACGTATTATAGGTGTCTTCATAAGTTAGCGAGCTCATAGACACATTAGCCACCATCAACGTTCTACAATTGCCACCAAGTGAATCTTTCAAAATACGCGTTAAGTTTGAATCGCGGTAAGGAATATGTTTCATTCCATCAGCCAATTTGTTTATGCAATTTCCTAAAGCTAATAAACTCTTATTTATGCTTGCGCCCTCCTTAAAACGAACACCAATTCCTTTTGTACTAGCAGCACGCTCACTTCCAGCCAAATCAATCATAGATAATTTTACTGTCCGTTTCGTTCCCGTTTTACGATCTGTCATTCGAATATGAACCTGAAAAATGGCATGCGAACGTGAACTTTCTGCATTGGCATCTGTCGGATGTTGGGTACGATTAGAATTTCCTTGTGCTAGCAGTTGTAAAAGTTCATCGGCGCTATAAATTGGTTTTAAAACTAATCCACTAACGACTACCCCATTTGAGTCCTCTTGCAGTTTTAGTGGTCCAGTTTTTGTTAAAAGGTTCATCACCAATTCATTATAGACTTCTAAATAGCTTACACCTACATCAAATTTATGAGTGCTACTTTGGGCTTGTATTTTATCAAAGAGTTCGCGCATTGTAAGAAATGTTAGACCAGGACAAGAATCGCTCCCAAGCATGGTGAATGTTTTTCCTGCACCAGTAGCGCCGTAAACAAACACTGAACAGTTGTACCTAGTGTTTGTATGTAAAATATTAATACCATTGAAGACAATTGTACAGTTTCTTAAGCTTACCCATTTAAAACTGAAGCTACTAAAGGTGATGTGCATTCTTCAAAAATTTGTCTATTTGTTGCCTCTGGATCAAAAACTCTGTCAAAATCCATGCTGATCTTTTTATTTAGCCGTTTTGTAATATCCCGATAGTTTTGCTTTGTTCCTTGAAAAAAGAATTCATCGTCTTCTTCATCGGGATCAAACAGTAGCGTGTTGTTGTCCAGTACTTTAACAATTTGCCGCTGATTCTGTTCCAACTCCCTTCTGTTATAAGGCCGAACTCTCACAACAACCTTTATATTTGTTTGCTCTGCTGACATTAGATATATTTCTTGTAATACTGATTATATTTAATGTTATTATAATTGAACAAAATTAGAAATTTTCTACGCCTTGTTTGTGAACGGGTGAAATTGTTTTCTCTGTCAGTTTTGAAAACTAAACTGTTTGAAAGCTAATTTAAGTTGGTAGCATTGTTGTACCAATTTGCACCAATATGGCCATACTTTGGACATACACGACTTATAAAGTAATAAAAGGGAGTTTAACGTTACGTGCTAAGAAATGTCGATTCGATAATTTTATCATAGGTCAAAAATAATTGGCTTTTGTTCTAATTTTTCTATTTAGAAACGTTCCGATTAGATATTCTTCCTCATCCAACAGCAAAATATTAACAAGGACACCAGGAATTGGAAAAGAAGTAGAAAATCAATATATTTAAAAATTTTTGTGAAAATTTTTACTAATCCAGCTTTCACCAGACCAGCGGTATACGAGAAAAATTAAATATTCTACGCTCTACACATTCAGAAAAGGAATGAATTCCCATAAACTAGTAACGTTCGTAATTTACCTACTGACTCGTCGCGTTATATTTTTTCCTTGAGCTAGTTATAACCGTACAAAAAAATTCAGAAATTTTTTTTTTTCAAAAATCTGTTTTAAGACACATATTCCAGAATATAAACATCTAACTTGTATATATATTTCCACAATATAGATTTGACTATGACAAACAAGGTTCTTTGGCATTTAGGAACTAATAACGTTCTTTGGTCATGATTTGATTATCTTTAAAAACTGCGGGAATTAAGAAAATATATTTCTTCCGATACAACACTGCGCCCTATGACGTATTTTCGAAAGTGTACGCCATTTTCGTTTTCCCTGAATCGCTTTGACAATATATTGGGTGATTTGCGTCCTTTGTAAAAGTGAAATTTAATTGGGAAATATTTATTGAAAATTAAGCCAGAATTACTCTAATTATTAATAAATTTATATATATTTGAAAGATACAAAATTGTGCGATATTATGAGTTCTGTGTTGTTTGCTTGCTCAAAATGTTTTTCAAGGCATCCATTTGAGGAATTGTCTGCTGGTCAACAGCTATGCAAGGTGAAGATCAAATTTATATATATATATATATAATAAGCAATTGTAAAAAGTAATGTACATAAAGTATCGTTGATAGATAGATTTGTTTTTATTGTGACACCAAGTAAGCAATTCTTTTTCAATTCGACAAAAATGAAGTGCGCAGTTGTCCGAAAATTTTCTCTGCCAAAGAAGCATTGTTGCTTCTTCCTGCTTTATGTTATCCAAAATTTTTTGTATTGAATCGTCGGTAATTCACCATTTTATATTTCAGAACTGCAGAGGAAGTAGCTCGGTTGTTAAGTGTACGTATTGCCGTACTGAATTTCAACCAACATCGTAAGTAATTTGGGAAGCAGTTTATATACTGTATCTCTCACTAACATATATTAATACATTTACAGAAAGAATCAAACTGCTTGCAAAAAATGTGAACATTGTCTTAACAAATATGGAAAACCTAACCCCTGTGAATGTTGCAAGATCGTGGCGGCATTTGGAAATTCTAAATGTATAAGGTGAGTAGATATGCTTTTATATTTACTTGTCAAAACTTGTCAAAAACTGAATTCTAATTAAAAATGAATGCACAATAAAAATTGTATGGGTAGTAAAAAAATTAATTTGGCATTATTTCAACATAAAATACATAAATTTTTGAAAGATTTCCTAACATCATGAGATTATTCACATGTGCGTATTATATTCTCAAACCGCTTTTATATTGTGCTTTCGAATTTTTGTAATAGAATACGAATTAAGTATATGTAAGTAATTTAGTCAAAGAACGTAGTTTTTTTATGTAGTTATAAAAATCCCATAAATTCAACGTTTATGAACGCAAACATTTCTTCTTCTTTTTTCTTCTGCAACAAATATTCATAAATTCACCTGAACCTTGCCTGTATGTCCAATGATTGATAGATGTGCAACCTACGAAGCGAAATATGGCCCACCGATACAGTGTGATGAGTGCAAGCAGCGATGTGCTTTCGATAAGCGTGACGAAAACAAAAAGGTTAGAAAAGGGGACAAAAACCGTCAATATGCCAGTATAAGTTGGCAATAACGATATATGCATGAGCTTCGTATTTGCAAAATGTACACTTAACTTATACAGCAAAAATGTAAAGATAACGATATATCGTTAGCAATGATGTGTACAAAAACAACCGAAATGTATGCGTTCATAAACTTATAGGCTCTTAGAATAATAAGCTTTCAAATTGTATATTTTAATATAATTACAACTTATTTACAGATCAATGGCAAACTGCTCTGTTGGCTGTGTACCAGTTCGTTTAAACGTGCTCTTTTAAAGGCACAACAGGAAGGCAGAATATCAGCGAAAAAACGACAACATGAAAAGTCACATCGAGACAGTTCGTCAGGTGCAAAAAAATCATCTCGGCCATCAGCTGATATAAAGTGTAGTAATGCCGGTGGTGGTGGTAGCGGAAGCAACACTGCTATTGCGGCATCAAGCAGTGATCTTCCTGAGAAAATAAGTCGCACAGGGTCTGGTGGAAGTGGTGGCAGTGGAAGCGGTAATGGCCATGGTGGTTTGAGCTCTATCGCAGCACCAGCAGTTATCACCATTGACCCAAATTCAGCTGATCATGTGGTAGCGATGACGAATTTAAAAGAGCGGATTGCCAGCTTGGAGAAACGGTTACAACAAAAAGATAAAGAATTGCTGGAGAAAGACAAATTGGTAGGTTACAGTGTGCTTAATTGAAATGCGACATAATTGCAAAGTTTTTATTTTAGTTGACAGAGTTGAAAGGTAAAAATTTTGAAAAGGAAATTGAAATGCGCAACAAGTTGAAAGAAGTTGACAGATTACATGATATGAAAGTAGAGAATCTTAATCGTAAAGTTAGTAGTCTGTTAAAGGAGCTAGCGGCGGTTAAGAAGAGCACAAAAAAGAATGGCACAAGTAGTGGTTCTAACGCTAAGGAGCGACAAAGTGAACGTGAGAAGCGAGAGAATCTTTCTCCAAAAGAAGAAGTTGTTGAAGAGGAGCAGCCACGTGAAAAGGAATTAAAGGAAGAGAAGATAGAGAAAGACGAAAGTAAAAGTGACGACGAGCAAGAACCCGAGGAAAAGAGAAGCGTCGGTTCTGGTTCTAATAGCCCGTCAACAAATTAATGGCTTTAAGCAGTCAAATGTGTTAGTTAAATTGTATGACAAAATTACAAGAATATGCAACGCTTTCACATCAATATTCCACTTAATCAAGATGTATACATTTTATACTAAATGTTTATTTTGTAAACAATCATGATGTTGAATCACGCTGTCCAGCATTATGGAAACGTGATTTTAAAGAGCTGTTGTACCGTTTTTCATCTGAGTAAAGAAAATTGTAATAAAATATAGTATCAATTACAAGAGTATGTATTTAATTTAAGAATGGATGTTTACTTTTAACAAATTTCAGTTAACAAGTGTTTGCGTAAGACTCTGTATCTTTTTTAGTTACTTAAATAATGTAATTCAAATGTCTTTTGTATTTCAAATAAGAAAGTTGTAAAAATGAAAGTTAGATAACAAGCTTTAGTTATATGTGCTTTGCGAACAGTATATTCGGTTATTTTACAATTTTTGGAAATTTTCAAATATTATAGTTTATTTCTTTTTAGAATCATCATTTATTTATTAACGTCACTTTATAGCTGATACTTATTTAAGTGAAGTGGAAAGATTTAAAATTGAATAAAAAGCGAATTAAATTTATTTTCTTGTACATTTTATTTATAGAATAATAACATTTCAACCGCAGTAATCAGTTATTTGCATTAAATATCTTAACACATTTTAGATCAAAGAGATGTTCTACATCTATCAGGTAATCACATAAAGATTAGCATTGTTTCCACAAAAAGCTTTATTTGATACTACGATCAGTGTGGCTTCGGTTTGTGACCATCCACGTAAAAGTTTCGTGTTGCGGTTGGTAACTGTAACTCTAAGCCGTCCAATTCTTTTGTTAATATTATTTGGCAACCAAGTCGTGAATTTTCTCGCAAAAATGGAGCCATATCTAATAAATCATCTTCTTTTTCTTCCGCTTCTGGCAATTGATCATAATGTTTTCCGATCACATATACATGGCAGGTAGTGCAAGCAAGTGATGCTTCACAAGCTCCTGTAAGTAAGTGCTCGTATTATCTAATTGTTTATTTCATTCTATGCGTAATGAATTTATATAATTCGATTCAACACAAACCTTCCATTTCTATTCCATAACGGTGTGCAAGGTATAACACATTGTCTCCAACTTTTCCTTTGACTTCCGTGCGTTTTCCATCTTTGTCGATGTACGCAACACGTACACTGTAATTAACAAACATTTTACAATATTAAAAAGTCATTATACATATATATCCATTTCAGTGCAGATGTACGACCTCAGCACTCTGCGTTTTAGATTTCATTATTAGACCTAACTTTATTGAGTGCCATCGCACTTAATCTGAACCTATATATGATGGAATTTCTTACACTTCATCGGATTTGGGATCCTGCCATTCATACTCGCCATGGAACACCGCTATAAAAAAACATATTAGATTGTGTTAGTTCTTGGTAACAGACAAATTTCCGCTTACTGTTAGTCGTGTGCATCCATTTAGGCGACGGTGGAAAATTGATATTTGGATAATTATGTGAATTATTTCTAATTTGCCGCAGTAATAAGCGGATCATTTTAGGTATTTTTGAGGTTAATGCTAAACAGCTGATTTTTGTTTGTCCGCCATTTCTGAACTTCGAAACGTAATTTCGAATGACCGAACCAGCTGTATGCATGATACATACATACGTTTATACGCATGTGTGCTCAACTTTTTTCCTGAATATCAATATTCCTTTCGGTAAACAAATAAAAAGTAGCTCGTCACTTTATGATAAGATGCTAATAAGTGTCTGTAATTAAAAATATGCTTACAGATTATCGTATATTATTGCTAATAAACCAAATGAGTGAATGTAGTGAATCAATGAGCAGCAATGACCAAAACCAAGTATTATTAAAAACTTTGCAGAGTTTGAAATGCAAACAATGTAAATGTTGTAATGATGAAATGGAGTCTTTAGCACGTACTATTCGACACACTTTGTTAGAGATAAATGACATTCAGGAAAAAAGCCGTGACCGTCGTCATCGAGAGATTATGGCGTTATTTGAAAATTATTTTAATGAAAAAACACACCAAATTCCTGGTACGCCAGCAAATCTGAAAATGGAAATAGATCCCCCGCAACGTTGTGGTGATGATGAAGGTGGGTAGAACAAAGAAATATGTCCCTTTTTAAGCTTTTATCCCTACAAATTCTAATCGTCACGAAATATTCCTTTTTACCCACAGTCAAGAAAAATAATGAAAGTATAGGTTGGGTTGAGGAAACCACAATATTGGAGTTACCTATAGCACAAGATGCAAAAGATAAATTGATAGCAATGCACAAGGAATTGCTTGATCTACGGAATCAAAGCTTCGGGATTCCAGGTAATAACATTTAAAACTAGTGTAAGTAGAAAAAGTTAACTTCTTAAGACTCTTCAGGTATAGCTACACATTTAGAATCAATAGAAGCTTTAAATCTAGATACTGAGGCCGAAAAAAATGACTTTACTACATCGAAAGATGCTATAGACGGTAAAAAATAGTTGATTAGAGTAATTTTCTGTATTAATGAAAAATGTTTCTAATTTAGTTACTAAATCTGCTAATACAAAATCAGAAACAAGGAACAAATATGCATCAGTGGATATAAAAGTTCCATCTCATCCTATAGATAAAGATATTGTTGAAGTTCCTACTGGGGACTTATTTGCAATTGCAGATCAACGGAAGAAATATCGAGGTAATGACATGAAGAACGCCTTCAAAAATCCAACCTGTGGAGCTATTATAATAGAGATAATCATCCATTTAATTTTATTTCAGATAGAAGAAGAAAAAGTGCAGAAGGGAACTATGAGCCATTGCATCAATATATAAAAAGATCATGCAGTACTGTACATAAGACTACTAATGATACATCAAGTGGGACCACAATAAATGTTCGCACTAAATCAAAAGAAGCACCGAGTGTGAGGAGTGAAGGAGGATTTTCTAAAGGTCTCCAAGAAATTGAGAACGCAGGTAGTGCGATTAATCTTTGTGTTTTTTTTTTTAAGTTTTCCTACTATTTTCAATATTTTTGTCACCTTAACGTAATCTTTTTTCATTGTAAAAATAAACCAATTATTTAGAACGAATATAGCTTTCCAAAAGATCGAATATCGCAAAATACAATTTATACAAAAGAAGAAAAAATACATTATTGTAAGATGTTATAATAACTTATTTTTGATTCCTAGGCAAGGCTGGTCAAATATCACTCGGTTCACGAAAATTGCTAAATTTAGATGCTGAGGACAGAGGAGGAACAGAGATTACAAGAGATGAATTTATGGCTATGCGTAATGAAATGTTTGCTAAACAGCGTAAGAAAATGCAGGATCGCGAACGTAAATATGCATGTAAATAAATAAGCAGGCCCAAAAATTAAAAAAATGCCTATGCCACGTAATAACTCTAAATATATATATAATTTTAAGTTACAAAACTATAAGAACAATAATTAAACAGTGATGAGATAACCTGAAACTTTAGATGTACAAAGTTTATTTTAAAAACAAAATGTTAAAGATCCTACGTGATAAGAGATTTGAAGCTCGAATCAAAACATTTACCACATATAATGTTCGATGTAAATATGGTGTTATTAAAATTTTTGATTGCAACAATGGTCTGCAACATTTGAAATGACATTTCAACTCAGCTGCTCTTTTTGTATACGTTCATATGTATATGTGTATTTACTACAAAGAGGCTGTCAGATTTTGTTTATTTTATTCCAAGTTAATTATAAGAACATTACCATTGCGTTCTTGCCGACAAAATTTTCATTTAAAATAGTAAACAAAACTAAATACTTATAATGCATTTACTAACATTTATATAGTTTTGCCTAAAAGGTAGAAATAAAGTATCCTATACACAAAATATTGGATGTGGATTTTGGTAAGACACAAATAACTATATACGCACTGAAATCAAAGTTTTTATTACATTTGCATATATGTATATAAAAACATGTATGTATGCATTATATTGTTATTTGGTAGCGATAAGACTTCAATGGGAGTGCTAACTATGACAAATTTCGATTAAACGGGCAGTTATTTTCTAAACCCTGATAGCATAATATTGTAACTGTACAAACGTACGTGCTTATTAAACCGGAACATAATAATATATAGTAGAAGACGCTTTTTTATGAATGTGATTAAGATTTGCTTGAAAATATATGCTATTCTTCAATAGCTTTTATAATTAAGCTGTCCCAACTTGAGATTTTATGAAACCTGTTACCACTTTACGCATACAAGTATTTATGGTTATACAGGTATACATATGTACATGCAGAAGTAACGTACTATGATGAGTAGGTCAGAAAGTGCCAGCGAATACATGCATTTATTAAATTTATGTAAACATTTTTGTTTTTGTGTAGAAAACACGTTAGCAGAGGTAAAAAGTATTTCTTCTTTTAGTAGATAAGATATTACGTGTGAGTTGTGGCAAAAACATATTGTTTGCTATTAAATGTATATCTATCTATAACATTCAATTTACTAACTGTTCTTAGAGCCGGACTGAAATAGGAAAAGTTAAATGAACATTAAAAAATTAAGAACATTGAGTGAGATCTTATGACAAAAACAATTTTAAAATTTGTTTATTTTGTAAGTAAAAGGGTTTCTTCATCCATCAGTACTGATACTATCAATTCGGAAGCTCAACATCAAAGAACCAACTCAATTTTTAATTTATGTACAGCCATATAATATATATGTAAATTTTTTCCTGCTAATAATAAGATAATGATATACTTTATGTGAATACATGTGTATATTATATATATATATATATATATATATATATATATATACAAATTGTATGCATACAACAGAAATATAGATTTACGTTTTCTTTTTTTTTTTACGAATAACAAAGTGTATGAAGGAAAATACATTGCTTTTAACTACTACCGGATGTATCTTATCTAATTTCTTTAGACGCAAGTCAAATAGTTTTTAAACAATTTGTTCAGTTGGTACTTGCGATTATGTTTGTTACAGTGATTCCAATTGCTAATTTTAATTCTGTTATATTATTTTTTAGTTTTTGAGAAAAGTTTCCAAATTTGTGAATTGTGTATTCATTTGGTAGTACATATGTGTATATCCATACATTGGAATATGTATGTATGAAAGTACTTTAGCGATATTTGAACAAAAACCAACTGTGTTATCAAAGTTTCTTATAGTTACAAATATACAATATACATACATACATATATCTATTATTATACATATGTATATATATGCCAAAGTGTCGCTTCACCTTCATTTCATTTATCTTAAATACATATATGTATTACTTTTTCTGCCTTGTGGTAATTTCAGTTCAGATAGTCGAGTCGAATTCCGTTGCGTTGTCGTCTTGAACACGTCGTCAGGCAGAAGACACACATCATACTTTCATAAGGGAGAAATATTTGAAAAGTGGCTCTAAAGAAAATAAAATAAAATGCGCCGAAGAAATATCAAGTGGATTATGAAAGCAGCTTTACTGCTGATGGTATCATTAATATTGTTTCTCCTCCTCACCAGCTGGATATCTTCGAGTCCATACCGAAATAAGCTACCAATTTTAACGCAAAAACATGCAGAAAATTTGCGTGCGCATAAGAAACACACTGATGTTGATTTGAATCAGTATAAAGAGCAAGAGATGGAAGTTCCAAGGCTGCCGCAATTGGAAAATGTACTGAAACCTGATGTGGGACAGCTGCCGATGGCGGGTGATCTAAAGAAAGACTGGCATGATTATGCGGCTATGGAACGTGATAAGAAACGTGTTGGCCTGGGTGAAAGAGGCGAGCGTGCTGAACTAAATGACGAATCACAAAAAGATTTGGAGCAACGAATGTCTTTGGATAATGGCTTTAATGCCTTGCTCTCGGACTCCATTTCGGTTAACCGTTCTCTGCCTGATATACGCTATGAAGGGTGAGTGTATTAAAGCGTTTACAATAATATTTAAGACCGATGATTTTCACATTTTCATCTCAACATTTTTTCAGATGCAAAAAGAAGAAATACCTTGCAAAGTTGCCCTCAGTAAGCATCATAATTCCATTCTTCAACGAGCATTTGGGTGTTCTTATGCGTTCGGTGCATAGTCTGGTAAATCGCTCACCACCAGAGTTGCTAAAAGAAATAATTTTAGTAGATGATTATAGTGAACGTGAATATTTGTTCACCCAACTCGAACAATATGTGGCTGAAAATTTCCCGAAAGTACAAATTGTACGTCTGAAAGAGCGTACTGGGCTAATTGGTGCTAGGATGGCTGGTGCGCGCAAAGCCACGGCTGAAGTACTTATATTTTTGGATTCTCATATTGAGGCAAATTACAATTGGCTACCACCACTTTTAGAGCCAATAGCACAGAACAAAAGATTTTCGGTTTGTCCATTCATCGATGTAATTGATCACAGCGATTTTCAATATAGATCGCAAGATGAGGGTGCACGAGGCGCTTTTGATTGGGAGTTTTATTACAAACGTTTGCCCTTATTACCGGAAGACTTGGAGGACAGAACTAAACCATTTAGGAGTCCAATTATGGCCGGAGGACTTTTTGCGATCTCAAGCGAATTCTTTTGGGAGTTGGGTGGTTACGACGAAGGCCTTGACATTTGGGGTGGCGAGCAATATGAGTTGAGCTTTAAGATTTGGATGTGTGGTGGTGAATTGTTGGATGCACCATGCTCACGTGTTGGGCATATTTACAGAGGTCCTCGCAATTCACATCCCAGTCCTCGAAAAGGAGATTATTTGCATAGAGTACGTTGACAATAGAGAAAATATTTATTTATTTATTAAATTATCCTTAAATAATTTTTTTTCAGAACTACAAACGCGTCGCAGAAGTATGGATGGATGAGTATAAAACATATTTATATGATCGTGGTCAAGGGGTTTACGAGGGAATCGATGCGGGTGATTTGAGTAAACAAAAAGCCATACGTCAAAAACTGAAATGTAAATCCTTCAAGTGGTTTATGGAAAAGGTGGCCTTTGATTTGCCTAAAAAATACCCACCTGTAGAACCGCCAGATTACGCTTATGGTGCTATACAAAACATCGGCGAACCATCGCTTTGTTTAGACACGTTGAGTAAACCCCGACATTCCAAAATCGGTCTCTATCCATGCGCACCGAATTTGCGCAAGCCACAAAAAAATCAAAATTGGGCTTTAAGTTGGCACAAAGATTTGCGTTTACGTTTCAAAACGGATTGTTTGGATGTACAGCAGCAACCGCCGGATGCGCCAGTATGGCTGTGGGATTGTCATGGACAAGGTGGTAATCAGTTTTGGTATTATGATCGTAATGAAAAGTGGCTTATTGCTGGAAGAGGCACTGATCGTTGTCTTGAAGCTAAACCAAGTCAACGCGAAATTTATGTGAATCACTGCGATTCAGGTAATCCATTTATGAAATGGAACTTTGGTAATATTAACAATACAGCATTGGATTTGTTTTTCGAACAAGAACCTAAAAACTTATAGTCATTCTAAAATTTACAACTTGCCATTTTCGTCTAGGAAATATATACATATAAAACAAAATGTTGAGGAGTAGGGAAAGAATTAATAATATTTCGTATGTAAGTCAGTCATAGTTTAAGTAAAAGTTTTATATCAATAGTTTCAGCCAAATGCATATCTATATATATATGTGAGAATATTGGAAAGTGTATGTCGTTATCATTAATATAATATGAGCAATGGAAGGACAGTTTTCTATGTAAACGTTTTTTTTTCATTATTATCTGTGTGTGCTGAAATGAAATTTTTAAATACAGATTAATTCTGTATTTCGACTTGCTTCAATTGAATACATATTCAAGAAAAGCTCTGTAATGAAAGAACTATTTTTTTATTCGAACTGTGCAAATGCTATTTTACCAAACTTTAAAAGATGATATATTATATTTGTAATACCATAAATTTAATTAAGTTGTGCTTATTATTTGCAAATATTGTAATATTTTAATTAATTATCGTGCACTTAAATTTTTATAGCTAGATTTCTTTCATTCTGGTTTACTTTTACTTTATTACTATTCTATTATGTTTTCATCATTTTGCTTTAGTTTGATTCAATTTCAGTTAATTGATTTAATTTAATTTTTTTCTTTTGTCTTGTTTTATTTCACTATATTTTATATTGTATTTTTGTTTTGTTTTATTTTACATGCATTTTTTATTTTATTTTATGTCATTTTATTTAATTTTGTTTTATTTGATTTGTTTGCATTTTTAATTTTGCTATTGAATTTTATTTTTTATAGTTTTACCTTATTGTATATAATTAATGAATTAATTTAATTAAGCATATATATCTGTATGAATAAACTATTTCCCTTAAGTACTGACAAGACAATATTAAATCATACACATACACATATATCGATATTGAAGAGGTTATGTAAATAAAGTATTCATTTCAAAGGAAATATGTTAACTAAATAATAATAAAAGGCATTTACTACTATTACTATTTCTTTTTGCAAATGAGATTGTGTTAACTATTTTTTTTGCCGAAATTTTTACAATCCTGAAAAGTAATAAATAAACAATCCAACAGCCCTATAATATAAAACTGTATTTTATTTTTTTATATTCGAAAGTATTGCATTAATTATTTACTAAACTTTACAGAACAGCGTTCAAGGAAAATATAATTGAATTCATAATATAATATATTTGAAATAAAGATCAAAGCAGTTTAGATTTTATATATTATATCATATTCTGCTGATTGCTCAATAATGGCGTATGACCAGGGTATTTATGACTTATGTTCGAAAGTGCACTGCTGTCTCGCCGACATTTCCAACTCCTTCACTTCGCATACGACAGCAATTGCAACAAAATTACAGGGGAAACGTGGCTATCAGCTAAGCTTCTCCGATCTAGGCGGCGGATCTAGTTATACGCAGGAGAGGAAGCTAGAATCCTGCTAAGCACCTTCATCAAAGAGCATCTATGTTACGAGTTAAAGCCCATAATATTACGTTGTGCAAGAAATATCTGCTGGGATGCTATTAAAGGGAGGACTGCATTCAGCATGACGGTCATGAACCGCCGCACAGGATTTCTTACTGATTCCTGTGGGGCAGGGGTTTAATAGATTTCCCGCGATAAGGCATGCATGTCGTAGAGGCGACAAAAATCCAAAAGTTTCCGCGACAGTCGAGTCTTTGTAGCAGAACGACCCGGATTTATTTGATCCGGTCAAAGACTGTCATTCCCGCAACATTTTTCAAAAAATATTTCTGGAACATTTTTGTGGTTACAAAAATTACAACAGCGGCTTACCGACAGGCTTCAAACGTCATTCACCGAGAGTCCGTTAACACCTTGAAATCTTATCCAGTGAACGGCGTATTCGGATTCAAACCACCTCCCGTTGCAGACGAAGAGCTAGAGCTGACTCGAGAGTCCCGCATAATACTGACACAATTAAGATTTGAATATTGAGTGAAAAAAATTCCTCCCTATTTAGACTTGTGGCAACCTACCCAAAGTCCGGTTCGACACAACCCCTAAAACCTACTTTCACCTAAACCTCCTTTGTCGTTTCCTGGCTCGTTTTCTAGATTTCCAATTACATCGATTACATCGATGACTTAGACTGATCTGGTCTGTGCCTAAGCGAAATCCCCAAGGAAAATTGAGTCAAAAAATTAAACGTCAACGAAAAACCACATTTTCCAGATTTTTAAAGTTTTTTCTCCACAGGCTTTAAATACCCAATGGTCGATTTTCATATTTACACTAGCTGAGGATGTGATTGTCTTCTTGGATCAAGACAGATTTCAAAGCTGTTATCCCAGATAGAAGCCAAAAAAGCAAGTGAAAACTGGATTCATTTTTATACAATCATTGTACGTAGGACAAAACCAGATGACTGGGTTTGAGCACCACACACTCAAGGCAGCTTGGTAAATCCTTTCGTTTACCAGATCACTGTTGTGTTTTTCAATCGGTATACGGCGGCTATATATAACGCTGCCTAAGCCCAATCGTACTAAGAGATCCCCAGATCACTTAACGCGATGACTAAGCAGTTATCTTTGAACCTAGTATGGTGGCCTGGACACAGTAGCATACCGCGTAATTAGATGGCGGTCGAGTTTGCAAGGAAGGCATTCACTAAAGATGCTAACTAAAGGGGGAAAAGTCTCGACAGTTTTTAGCCGCTCTCCTCCTTAAATTTGTGGTGTGCATCTTTATGTTTTCCGACAAATAGAAATACCTACCGTTTTACTAAGCCGCCTCGGGGCGGCAGGTAGATATTTGTGAGGAGCTTTTTTATTTCTCAGGAATACTCTCGGAGAACTTGACACACCCAGCCGAAGGGCGACGGCAATTGGAAAGATTAACTAACTTTTTTATTAAAAATACTTTTCTGGCTGCTGGTCGAACCCTGGTCTTCAAAAGATAATACGCACTGCTAAGCACTCGGCTTTGCGCACGCATCATAACGAAACTTAAATTTCAGGGTTTAAAATCTGTAGCTTCAAAATTAGGAAAATTCCTAATAAAATTACAAACTACAATACAAATACGAGGTGTGTTCAAAAAATATCGCGAATTTTGTGTTTTTTCAAAAATTATTTATTTATTCATGAATAGCCATTTTGTCACCTTCAAAGTAATCCCCATGAGATTTTATACACTTGTGCCAACGGCTATTCCAATTTTCGAAGCATTTCAAAAATAATTTTTTTTATCTTGTTCAGCTCCTCTTTCGATGCCGTCTTTATATCGTCAATCGTAGCGTAACGTCGTCCTTTTATGGACCTATTCAGTTTAGTTTCTTAGAAAAGGTCACAGGGGGCAAGATCTGGGGAATACGGTGGCTGCGGCATCATTAGCGTGTTGTTTTTGGACAAAAAGTCGCGCACAAGGAAAGATCGTGGTACAAGAGCCAATTTTTGTTCTTTTACAAATCCGAGCGTTTCTGGCGGATTAATATTCCTTATTGACCGAATTAATATTCCTTATTGACCGTTCAACCCTGTGGCAAGAACTCATGATGCACCACGTCCCTGCAATTAATTTTTTCATCTGTTGTTGAAGTGCTCGGGCATTCGGCACACTCTTCGTCGTTCACATCTTCTCGGCCTTCTGAGCACTTAATTTCGTTTTTCACACAAAATTTGATACAGGTTCTTTGATCCATTTTTTTTAATAGGTAAAAATCGAATCCAAAACACGTGCAAGCAAAGCAGCTGTCAACAAATAAGTGAAAATTCAAAATGGCCGAGCTTGTCGGCATAAGTGACAGACATGAGTACCAACATAACGCCACAAAAAAATCGAAATTCGATTATACGTAACCCGAGAAAATTCAAAATTCCCGATACTTTTTGAACACACCTCGTACATATGTTCTCATGTATGTAATGTATGTAAGCATTAATATATGTACCTTTTTTACACAAACTTTATTATTATCTGCTTATTCTGTAGTTTATAAAATGTTTGGCTCAATTCTACTTGATTGCATTGTATTTGTTATACTGGAAACCGCTTTATATGAGTTGCGTATTGTACGAGGGGCGACTAACTTTTTCGTGACCTAAAGCCGTAATGAAACAATGTGTAGCTTTATTTTTTTGTTTTCCATTGTAGTCTCCTCCAAGTAAAACACACTTTTCACATATTGAATACAATGTCTTTATGCCACTGAAAAATTATTCTTGAGATGCTCTCCCACGGCTGCTTTCTAACTACATTAGGTGGCGGACTTATCAGCCGCCCATCGTATATGTTACATTTCAAATAACTATTTTTGAGTTACTCTTTTCCTATTGGACTCTTCGTCTTTTACTTTTACTGGATTATTTACGCAGGTGAAATCGAGCGTTTAAGCGTTTAACAGTTGTCAATATCTCTCGAATTTGGGTTGATAGTTTTATTAAAATTTCATTTCTTTTAGTTGAAAATACGTGTTTGATCGTTAAGTAGGACACTAAATAGGAGAAAGAAAAGAGAATGCGTACATTCACTAAATTATATATCCTTCGAGTCGTGTCTATTTTAACAATTAGTACTGTTATAATTTTGCTTATAACTCAATGGTTCTATATAACGCAAGCACTCGAAGGGAAAGAAACCGAATTAAAGGAGAAGACGCCGTTTTGGCAGCGAGACTCTCAGCAGTTAGACGGAGCGAGCTCTGAGTTGAGACTTAAGGATTGGCATGACCTCGAAGCTATGTCCAGAGATGCGGCTCGCAAGGGATTGGGTGAACATGGTAGGCCCGCATACATTACTAATCTTTCCAAGCGTATGTTGGAACGTAAAATGCTGAAGATGAATGGTTTCAATGCTTTGCTGTCGAATATGATATCAGTGAATCGTTCAGTTCCGGATATACGTTTCCCTGGGTGAGTATATGGGGACTTATTAAGCCAAATGAAATGCAGCAAGACTTTAAAAGCCAAAAAAAGCCATCAAGAAATCGTCACAGTTGTAGCTCCATGAACATAGTTGTTGAAGTAATCGATTTTGGGGAATATTTCCGGAGTGACAGTCCTTGGCCGGAAAAAAATTCAGGTCGTTTCGATATACAGACCTGACAGTTGCGGGTACTCTTGGTTTATATTTGCCCTTAACGACAGGCAAGCCTTACTGCACTCTTGAACCCCTAATCCGTTTTATTTTAGCGAGAGTGGGAACGAGTTTAATATAAACATATTAATTACGAGGCGGCCGCGATAGCCGAGTGGTGGTTAGTATTGCGTCCTGCCATTCGGAAGGCTGCCGTGCGACCAGCATTCAAAAGTTAGAGAAAATTAATTTAAATAAAAAATTAAGCTAAATTCTCTAATTGTGGACGCCCCTCGGCATGGAATGGCAACTCCTCCGAGAGAGAAGGAAACATAGCACTAATTTGTGTTTTGCGCCATAGTAGTGAACTCGCCTCTGAAACGGTAGAAAATGATACTTATTTTGATGTGAAGTGATGATACAAGGACGGAAATTACTTGTCTCTTTATAAAATTTAAGGGTTAGAGTAAGCGTTCGCCTAAGTCATAGAAATCACTCTCTGAAGCAGAAAGTTCATCGTTTCCTAAATGGCATTAATAGTCGATAGTTTTCGACAGAAGACTCCCTAATCGATCTTTTTGTTAAGCATAGCTCCGGACATGAGGAAGCTCTGTGTCTTCAGTCCACCGGTAAAAAAATTATATTGGGATGGGAATTAACTCACGCCGGATGAGATATTCACTGATATGTGCAGCTAGGACTACAGTGGAACCCCTCAAAAACCTCAGAGTATACCATACTCGAGTCGATCAAGCTGACCGACCCAGATAACCTGAGCATAAGTCGCCCACTTATGGTGTTTCACTTATAAAACGGGACAGACGACTTAAGTACCACCATATATTCAGTTTTTGTCGTTTGTAGACCTCTTCTCTCTTCGTCTACTGTGAATCACTTCTCTCATTATAAGTGCGTGCGAATTAATTTTTAAACTAAGCTTACGATAAAGCTATGACCAAAAAAATATATCTTATAGATGTACTAACTGAAAAATGTCTCTCTTTTTCAGTTGTGAAAGAAAGAAATATTTCGCCGACTTACCAGCTGTTAGTATTGTTATACCGTTCTATAATGAACACTTCACTGCCCTAGTCCGTTCGGTGCACAGCCTCATAAATCGTACGCCAAGGGAATTAATAAAAGAAATAATACTCGTCGATGATTTTAGTGACCGGGTCAATTTGAAGAAACCACTTGATGATTATATAAAATCACATTTCAATAAAGTAGAAATTATACGTTTTCGTCAACGCCAGGGACTCATAGCGGCCAGATTGGCTGGCGCTGTTAAGGCTATCGGCGACGTTTTGGTCTTTATGGACTCACACATAGAAGCCAACTACAATTGGTTGCCACCATTGCTGCATGAGATTGTACTGGATAAGCATACCGTCGTGTGCCCCCTGATCGATGTAATAAATGATCAAACATTCGAGTATTCCGCCCAAGACGAAGGCGCACGCGGCGCTTTCGATTGGATCTTCGACTACAAACGCCTGCCACTGCTGGAAAGTGATAAGAAGGATCGCACCAAGCCTTTCAAGAATCCTGTTATGGCAGGTGGCTTGTTTGCTATGTCGCGTGAGTGGTTTTGGGAACTGGGCGGTTACGATGAAGGCTTAGAGATTTGGGGTGGCGAGCAGTATGAGTTGAGTTTTAAAATCTGGATGTGCGGTGGGCGTTTATTAGATGTGCCATGCTCACGTGTGGGGCACATTTTTCGTAGTGACGATTGGACGGGCATACAGACAGAAAATGAGGATGACTATTTGTATAAGGTAAGTGGAAAAGAATTCTCAATTGTTGTGTGGATAATGATTTAATTATTTAGAAAACATTTTTAAATTTGTAGAATTACAAACGTGTAGCTGAGGTTTGGATGGATGACTACAGGTATTACCTTTACAAACATGCTTACGGTTTATATGAGAAAATCGATGAAGGCGATTTGACAGATCAATTCGCCTTGCGTGATAAATTGCATTGTAAGTCCTTCAAGTGGTTTATGGAGAATATAGCATTTGACTTGGTGAAAGTCTATCCACCCAAAGGCATGACCGATTTCACATATGGCCAGGTGAAAAGTGTTGGTGCGCCAAATCTTTGCCTCGATGCACTGGGACAACCAGACTATCGTGCAATTGGTGTTGATACTTGTGATCCGGAAAAAATGTTCCCTGTTCGCCAACAGGATTGGGCTCTAAGTGAAAACCACGATCTTCGTATGCGTGGCGAAGAATATTGCTTGCAGACTGCCGATAGGAAGCCGAATTCAGCGCTGCAACTCTACGATTGCACTTATGGTAAGAAAGATCAATTGTGGTATTATAATCGCCAGCACGAGTGGTTGGTTTATGGCAAAGACAGAAAATTTTGTCTGGAGGTGCGACCGGAATTGAAGCAAGTTGTTATCAATAGATGTCGGCAAAACTATCCGAACATGAAATGGACTTTTACTCATGTTAATGATACTTTATTGGATGCATACTTCGAAACCATGCCTTAATTAGGAGATTTACGGGAATAATATAATCTTGTGTGTATGTACAATATGTTAAGTAATAGTTGTTGGCTGTAAACTTTTTTAGATTCAATAAAATAATATACTCATATGAGTATACATATATGTAACTTGTTGTAAATGTATGAAGATTTTACCCACTGACAGCTACAACTTCGACTAACATAGATCCCTTATGAGCAGATTTAGGTGTTCTTCTCTCTTTGTGAAATAAAAAAATCAAACTTAGTTTATGCTGAACAAGCGTGACGGCGAAGAACTGACAAGTTGCAGCTATCAGCTTTTTAGCAGAACATGGTCGAAGCAAAACATGCCCGACTTTTGCAACTTACTCGTATGTGTACTCTGCCCAACCCGTAAAATATTAGCCTCCCGCTATCGTACATAAGGAAAAGGAACTGCCTCTACGAAGCTATGTTTGAATTTAGTTTCCCCGCAGGCGTCGAAAGCCCCCAGAGCTTCGTTGGAAGGTTCGTATGCATCAACTTTATAGTCCAGACCTCGTACGAAATGATTACCAGCTGTTCCAATCCATGGCGTATGACATGTCCAGTGAAGAATTTGCCTTAAACGAGGGTTTTTATGAGAGAAGCAGGATGACGTTACCTTCAAAGCGGCAAGAATTTATCGAGCAAATAACATAATTCGCACAATGAAAAATAAAGCCTTCAGTTTAATACAAAAATAATACATAACTTTTTACTAGACCAATATTTAAATATGTACATACACGCATAGTGACAGGGGGAAAGCTTAAGGGGAAACTTCATAGTTTGCATCAATTGATCGCGTCTCCAAGTAATAAATAAAAGTCCATGTGCTTTTTTTTTGTATTCAATTTCATTAAAAATACATTTATTTGTTTTTCTGTTTCTGTTTATGCATATAAAAACTGAGAAATGAAATTAATCAATGAAATATAGGCCAATAGAAATTTGATAATAATAATATTTAATAATATAATATAATAGTAATAATTATAATTATAGTAATATATCATAAATATATATTTATATATGTATATTATATATATATATACATATACATATATGTATGTATATATAAAATGTTGCCAACATGCATGTCTGCATGCATGCAAATTGCTTAGCTTAGAAAAGTGTTTGCATGATAAATATTATATAATTTACACGCTTGCAACATAATATACATATGCACTTTATATATTATATTATATTATATTTAAGATTCATGTATATGGTTGCTTATATTAATTATGTAATTATGTGCATTTGTTTCACAATTTCTTCCTTTCTTTAATTTATATTAAAATTTGTATTATTTTTTAGATTTTTTTCATCATTAGTTTTAATGCAAGCGACACTTTCGCACAATTTTTTATTATTATTATTTGCTTTTAATTTGATTTCTTTGTTTTTGGGTTTTGTTTAGTTCATTTTCTTTTTCTTTTTTCTTTCTTTTTTTCTTTCGCACATATGTATGCACTTATATAATTAAAATAAATGAGTACAACAAAACAACCGAACAGCGTTAGTCGTGAGCGCGCTGCACTTGCAATTAGTTAGAAAATTATACAAAAAAAAAAAAAAAAAAAGAAATGATAAATGTCAAAACAATTGCTAACAGTTTGAAAATTAGAATATAGAACTGCGCAATTACTATATGTTTAATTGAAATGCAAATAGCATACACTTTTAATAAATTAACTTCAAACATATATGAATTTTATTTAAATTTATAAAACAGTTGTGTATATTTAAAATTATATAAAATTCACATATGTATGTATGTAATCGTATGTATGTATTGTACTTATAACATATACAACTTAAACTTAAAGTTAGTTTGATGCAAAGGGGGGGGGGGGGAATATAATAAAATTATATGTAATAAACGTAGTTTTTTCGTTTATTAATTTTTAAATTAGTCAGTAAAACTATTTTGATTTTTGTTGAATTTTTTGTTATTCGCTCCTTACGCAGCAAAGTCTTGAATATTATGTCTGTTTTTCCGTCGCTAATGTAATGAGTATGTACGTATTTACGCATGTATGCATGTTTGTTTGTATGTATGTAGTATGCTTCGCAGCGAATAAAGGAAATGCATGAAATACATTTAGATGGATGGATGCTGTGTGTTTATGTATTTATGTTTATGTATGCAAATAATCCAAGTACACACGTCATATGTAAATATACATACATACATATATGTACATATTTGATTTTAATTTCTACTTTTAGTTTTTTGTTTTTAAATTAATTAAATCAATTTTAAATTTATATTAACTTGCATGTGTATGTATGTATGCATCAATGTACGTATGTTTTTTTTTTGATATTCAATGCATATTTAGTATATGAATTGCGTACATGTTTATAAGTATACTTGTGTTGTTGTTACATTTTAATAATTTTAATATTTTTATTATTTTATTAAACTTAAGTGCTGTTTTGCTTTTGTGTAAATTACTGTATTTCTGTATATCTGTTTTTATTAATAAATTATTATTTTGTAATTTTATAACGCTTACATACTTACTATGCATATGTAAGTGCGTATGTCTATAAGTATAACTGTTTATTTGTATTTTTATTTTTATTTCAACTTGATTTTTTCTTCTACACCTGTTGACTTGTTTTCGCTTGTCTTGTTGTCTTGTTAAAGAGAGAGAGAGAAAAAAAAACATTTTATTTTAAATCAAGTGTTTAATCGTACAATTTACATATGTTTTCATTACGTACTTAATACTTTGCTGGTTTCGAGTCTTTTTTTGTTTGTTTGTTCCATTTTACGTCCAATTTCATTTTGTTTATTATGTTATAAATTTTTAAATATATTTGTATATGTTTTTTTTTTAACTTTTTGTATACATGGCATTTCGTATTACTCCTCTGCGTACTTTCATTCTATGCAAAATTATGTTTTTCCAAAATACATATTTTCCATTAAATTTTTCACTTGCCATACGCTCACAAAATATGTACCCTTCGAGCTCCACGCTTTTTCACGATAAATATCTAAATATAATACATACTAATGTCTTAACTTAATTACTTATCATTCACTGTCTTCCAGTTTAATTTTTTCCTTTCTTTTTCTGTTTGTTACGTAAATAAATATATATATATTCTTATGTATGTGTATGCACGTGTATTTAATTCAGTAGAATATTCATATTATTTTATTAGAATATTTATAATATTCAAAGATCTCACTGTTTCCATTATTTTTTATTCATTCAAAAAATGTGTTATGCTTGTTTTGCTTGGCTTAAAACTAGAGAGATATATGTATGTATGTATGCATATTTCAAATTAAAATTAATAAAATACTTATAACACAAACTAAATGAAAATTAGAAAAAAAAAAAAATTACGAGCATAATATATGTGTGCATGTATTTTTCTCATATTTTCGTAAACTCGCTAAAATTTTGTTTCTTCATCTTGTTATACATTTAAATGTAATAATAACAATAAAATTTAATTATTTTACTTTATTTTTTTATGTTTTTCTGCTTTGTCTTCCATTTTGCTTAATGCTAAGTTTCAATGGTGTGTATATTTATTTTTGATGCGTTACTCTAGTCTTATTGGAAAAATAAACAATAATCTAACCTCAACTCTTTGTTTTCTTTCCTTTCTATGCATGTAATTATTGCCTAAACCTTAATTTTTGTCCACCACAGTTTGGCGCAAAATACGCAACGCCTACAAATTTTTTTCAATTACATTTTATAAAGTGTTCGAGTTTTGTTTCAAATTTCTTTTTGTTTATTTTCAAACTCTTTCATTTTGATGTCTTTCGCTGCCTATAAAATAATTGCATACATATGTATGCGTACAGGTTGGTATTTTTTTAATTTTTTTCTTTCACTTTCGTTTGAAAATACGATTTCATGCATTTTAGTATTTTTATTATTTTAATTTTTTTTTTTTTTGCTTTATAAGTTAATAATTTTTACATATTTTTACAAACCTTTCGGATTCTACATTTTATAGGTTTTTGTTTTTGGCAAGGGTTGAAATGTGTGTATATGTGTATGCTAAATTTTTATGGCATTTTTATTCGTTCAACTTTTCGCGTCAATAAATTGAAAAGAAACTTTTTTCGAATAACGCGCTCTAAATGCAAGGAGCTAAAGGTAAAATGAAAGCGCTCTTAAGTTTGCTCTGAAAGTTCCGCTAAAGCTCTCGCTTTTTTGCTGAATTGCTGTGCTTGTCGAAGAGTGTTGTTGGTGGTATTTTAGTTTTGAGCTCAAAACGAATGAAGAAGCCACTCTTTGAATTAAATCAATTCTAAAGTAAATCGAACACTTCCTAACTGATAAAGAGCTTTACGCACAATGGTCCACATTGCAGCCTTTTTGGGCATCGTTTTGAATATCCGGCATGTTACTTGAGCTGAATTCCGTCATTCTGCATTTTTAAAAGAGGTTCTTGGGGCAAAGAAATATTTAAATGGCTTTGTTTGAAAATTGATTTTGTTTTACTCTGCTGTATTCTTTTATAATTTATTTTATGTTTTATTGTTTTATTATATTTGGTGATATTATTTTTATTTCATTATATTTATTCCATTTCATTTTTTTATTTCATTATATTTATTCCATTTAAATTATTTTAATTTCACTTTTCTCTATATTATTATATTCTATTTAATTTTATTATTTAATTAACTTATATTATTTAATTTAAATTTTGATTTATTTATTCTTCAATTTTATTTTATTATAACTATATATTTTAACTAATATTTTTATTTTATTTTATTTCCTTTTATTTTAGTTAAGTTTATTAATTTGGTTTTTAAATTTTGTTTTAGATTGGTGTTTAATTTGTTTATCTTCTGATATATAATTTAATTTTATTTTGTTAAATTTAATTTAATTTCATATCGAGTTTTTATTTAATTTAATTTTAATTTGCTTTATTTCACTTTATTTCTTATTTATTTATTTATTTTTTTTTAATTTCATTTTATTTCATTTTATTTTATATTGCTTTTTATTCTTAATATTTGCGGCTTAGGGGAATGAAAAATCAATTTTGCCATTTCTTCCAAGTTCTTTCACACAATTCGTAATTTTAATTATATTTTGATTGCGTTCTGTTGCTATTGTGTTTTCTGTGAATATTATTTGCTTTTCTATTTTAATAAAACTTATCATTTACATATATAGTATGTATGTATGTATATATGGTTTTAAGCCGTTTGCACGTATGCATTTCCGTAGTGATGATAAATGTTGAGTTTATTTATATTTTGCTTCTTTGTTTTATTTTATTAAAAACGATTTTATTTTCTTTGTACTTTTGGCAATGTTCTTTTTCTAACAGTAATTTCCTTTTAGTGTTTTATTTTTGTATTTTTAATTGTGGTTTTATTTGCTTAATCTTTACCTAAAAGTATTTTCATTTGAAATTATTCTTTTGTTTTTTTTTTGATAAAAAATGTGTGCCTTTCACTCTAAACTGTTTTTACATGGATATATGCATGTATGTATGTGTTAGTATGTATTTATGTTTTTCGCTCTTTTTTTTACTAAATTTATATGTAGTCTTCTATGTGCTCAATTGATTATGAAAATATGTTGTCTTGGTGATGAAGTTTAGTTTTTGTTGCTATTGTTGCTACTGTACGTATTTATAGTTTGCTTTCAGTTAGTTTCACATTTTAGAGTATCTTGAGTATTCAACTAAAATTATTTTGTTAGCAGTTTATTTAAATCTTAGCGGTGTTTTTACTGCCCGTTATGAGCGTAATCTTTTTTAACTTAATAGTAAATGCTTGTGCTGTACGTGTATGTATTTCTGAATATTTAACTAGGAAGAGCAATTGTAAATAAACCGCAGCATATGAAAGCTAAGACTTTAATGGGAGTTCACAATTAGCAACGAGTTATAAAAAAGTTTATAAAAATATAATGGTCTCGTTATTTTTTAACTTTTTTACATTCAAAATTATTACCAAATATATATATATATATATATATATATATATATATATATATATATATATATATATATATATATATATATATATATATATGCATTTACAAGTATGCCCCAAGCCAACAAAAAGCTTCTTCATGTTTAGCAGGCAACCCTACACATAGCAACTTACAAAAGCAAACAAAAAGTGAAATTCAAAAAATATGGCACTCAAAGTGTTTCAAATTTATAAATACTACGTCAGTACGCTGTGTCGGTAGGCCTAACATAATACTCATACCAATCAGTTTTCGAATACAAAATAACTAACGTTCCCATCACGCAAGTTGAACGACAGATATCTCAGACCTTGCACTTAACCTTAAAATGGACTGACTCACACTTGCAGGCAGCTTAAGCGGGCATTTGTTGTTGCTGTTGGCGGTGTTGTTGTAACAGTAAATGCTGCTGTTGCTGTTGGCGCTGCTGTAACATTTGTTGCTGTTGCTGCTGCAAATCAAACTGCTGTTGCTGTTGCACAGTTGCGGCTTCCGCTGCGCCCGCTGTTGGACTAGTGTTGCCCGCCTGGTAGGGTCCCGTAACCACACACGGGTGCATAGGAAAGAGGGTCGTCCAAGAGGTTGTGGTTAATGTTGGCGCGTGGAGCGCAACTTTCTCCTCCTGCTCCTCCGTTGCCTCCAACTCCTGCTCGCTTTTTGCCTGCACAACAGAAGATGAAGAAGCAGTAGAATTCTCATTAGCAATTTCGTTCACATTTGCACTTGAGTTTGCATTCTTCTTACCCGAATCCTTTTTCTTTTTGCTTGCCGAACCGCCACTGGAGCCATTGGACTTCGCTGTGGTTGCAGCTGCTGGTATTGCTGCGGTCGTCGCTCCGCTAGTTGGTGCTGTCGGTGTTGTCTCCGCTGATGCCGCAGAACCATTACTATTGCCGTTCGGTACATTGCTGTTGCCGTCCTTTTTGCTACCCTGTACTGTGCTACCGTTTGTCAGTGTTCCTTCAGCATTCTCTTCCTCTTCTTCACCATCCTCACCGTCACGCTCTTTCTTCAGCTGTTTTTCTCGTTCTTCTTTGGCTTTATTATCAAGGTCTGTATTAATTTTCTTAACACGCATCTTCTCTTCCCACTCGTCGATACCGTGACGAGGCCGATTGAGATTACGATGTTGATAGAATATAAGTGTCATGCGCGTCGGTTCGTGACGATTGGGATTTCGCAGTGCTGTAGTGGCATGTAGCTCGTGCTTGGCACACTCGATCAGTACACTACCATGATTGAGCGCTATGGCCACTCCACCCATTTGTGGATCAGCGAAAGCCTCATAATTGTCATTGATTTCCGTCACTTCACCAATGGGCTCCAACTTGTTCGGGTTGGAGGTGGTGGCTACGGCGGTAGCTGTCGTGGTGGTTCCCGTTGTTGTTGTGCTGGTATTGGCGGTAGTGCCAGTGCCGGCAGTACCATTCTCTGCTGACGAGCAAGTGGTTGCAGTTGGACTGCCATTGTCGTTGCTGTTGCTAGTACTGTTATTACTACTATCATTATTGATGGCCGCCATTGACGTTGCGACGGCTGTATTGGCAATGGGTGAAGTGACATTAGGAACAATTGTTGGATTGGTGTTGGTAAGCTCAGTATTCAACTGCGTAGCTTGAATGGGCGCATTGGTATTGCTGAGATCGGGCAGCACCGTCTGTGGTTGTGCCATGGGTAGTTGGGTTTGCACCGGCAAAGGTGTTTGAACTTGCACCTGCTGTTGCATCTGTTGCTGCTGAGGGTCAGCAGGGGGTGTGGGTTGTATCACTGGCATGGGTAGAACGTTCTTCAGATTGCCATTGGTGAGTGGCATTTGTGCTTGTGCTTGCGGGATGCTGGTGGCTAACGAAGAGTGCTGATGGGTGCCACCATTCGACGGCAGCACAGTGGTAGCATATGCAGCAGTGGAAGCGCTATTCTGATGGTGGCCGTACATATTCCAGTTAGGCGATGGCGGTGGTGGTGTTGGTGGCGGCGTCTGTTGGGGGTACATACTGTAGGGTGAGTAAGCCTGATGATAGCCATAGTTGTAGTTCATGTTCTGGTAAGCGTCGTATGCTGAGTAAGCCGAATGGGGAGGTGGATACATTTGATAGTTGCTCGGGTACTGTGTGTACTGATAGTCTGCCGGTGGTTTAGGTTTTACGAAACCTTCTTCGATGGGCGTAGCATGATGATGAGGATGATGATGATGTTGAGTTAGATTAGTCATTGGTGTCAATGGAGTGAGTGTGGTCAACTTACTTTCAGCTAAAGTGTTATTTACTATGGTGGTCGAGTCCGGATTCTCCTCACTGCCGCGGCTCTTTACCTCCCCGCGTACATCATGTACCTGTGTCAGCTGTTGACTGCCGGCAGTAGGTAGGTTGTTGTAATTGTTGCCATATGTGGTGTTCGTATCGTGGTGGGGTGTTAGTGGTGCAGCTGCTGTGGGCATGGCGGTGGTGGTGTGGTGTACATTGCCTTGCGGTGGTGCCATTGGTGCAGCTGCTGTACCCGGTGCCCCCGTGCCCATACCGACTGGATGTGTGGCGTGTGTTGCATGCGGCGGAGGCCAGTTCCCATAATAGTTGCGTGAATCTATGTAGGAACCTGTCTGGTAGTCATACGAGTAGGGTGAATCGAGTACCGTACTTGAGATCTGATTGGATTGAAGCTGTGCATCTGTGAAGGTATCTATCATAGTCGCCATGTTCATTAGGCTGGAATTGGACGACATGAGTTGATTGGGTGCGTTACCTCCTGCCGCGTTATTCACCGCGGTATTCATATGTGTGTTGTTGGTGTTGTTGACCGGCGGCGTGGTGAAAGCGCTACCAGCGGGACTCGGATTGTTGGTGACTGGCGTCTGACAACGTGGCGATGGGGTCGAGGGCGGCGCTGACGATGGCGTTGTGGCGACTGAATTCACAACTGCGCCCGCCTTCGATTTCGACTTCGATTTACTGTTACCAACTCCACCTTCTTTCTTGCCGTTCACTGCGTTCACTGTAGCAACGGTAGTGGCGTTGCTATTCGTTAAATTTGCAGCACCGTTGTTACCATTGCCTGTATTGGCATTGTTGGCGGCGGTATTTGTTGTGGATTGCGTGGTGGCGGCAGGTGAAGGTGTAGTCGGTGTGGTAGCGGTTGTAGCTGCTGCGGCTTCCGCCTCCGGTGCAGGTGTCTCGTCCTCTTTGCGCTTCTTACCATGGCGACGACAAGGTATGAGCGGCGTCGAGCGAACACGTACTTCGCAGGGAAATCTGAAAGTGTACAGAATCGTTCAGCATTAAAACTATCCACTGTATAAAAAGCCCACTCGGCGGCAACTATTAAAACTCAACACTACACTCACTTGTCCAACACTTGTACCGCACCGGTGCGATGTTTCTCCCGCTGACCTTCCATGCTTTCGAATTCATCTGTAGCGTCCATAGTGTAGAGCGGCAACACATGCAATTGCTCATCATCGGGTGGACGGCCATCGCGGTTGGACGGTTTCAACAGTGCCACCTGAACTGTACAGCCGTCTTGCATATTGTGCAAATCTCTATGAGCATGTGCACAAAAATCGAGGCAAGCGGTAACGCCCGAGAAAGGACGTCCTGTCTCCAGTCCAAGTCGACAATCAGTTGCTTCCTTCTCGTACTTAGTTTGATTGTCATATGAGCGGGGGCACACTTGCTTGAAAAGTGGCGCCAACACGGTGGCCAAGAGATTCATGTGATCTTCAATGGCCGACTCCTCACTTTTGACGGAAAGTCGGAATTTGCGCACCGTCTTTGAGCGCGCATACTTACAGCCATTATAGTACATGGACCAGGAACAGCCGAAGCTGTAAGAGGCAGCTGATGTTTCAGGATCGAGACCTGTGAAAAGAGGTGGAGTTTAGTAATTTTATTACCCATTATATATTGTATGAATATGGACCTTGACACGCGCAGGTGCGACTCTCATTTGTTGCACAGCGACGCGTTGTTGGAAGTCCGAACTTATTGAGCTTTGGTATTAGATTTTTATAGGCATTATCCGCCTCTAGACGCGGCATGCCATCCCAAGCAACCATGCAAACGATGATGAAAGCAGCGGTGCACCTATTGATAATAAATTCGTTAGTTTCTATTTTCCAAATATTATGTTGCATATAATTTCCTTACCTGTGCCCCGGTCGCTTTTTAACTACAACCAAAATTTTTTCCTCGGGATCCGCACGCCTAATAACCCACTTAGCCAAAGGACAACCTTGTGTTGTCTTACCTTCCTTGCCCGTGTAGATGATTTTCTCTATACGCAACTGCCTACCGGATATTTGACAGCGTTCTTCGAACTCTCTACGCAGCTCGGCCAAAGTCGAAGCAGTACCTGTAAGAAACAGACAAAAGTTAGAAATGTGGTCGGGTATTTCATTTGATAACACTTTACGACTCACCGAGATGGGTATAGTATGTGCCAGGTTCGGGCGGATTTTTGTCGGAATGAAAACATTCACACTCCGGTATCTCTGTCTTGTTGCCTTTCTCTAACCTATCTGAGGTATCAAACATAGGATTGATTTTCTCGTGTTTAACCACAATTTCATTATCTTCCTGCTTCGCACCTTTCTTTTTCGGCTTTGCGCCGCTGTGTACTTCTGGCTCCTCAATTGGTTCGTCCATAATCTCATCCTTGGTTTGTATGCCCGTGCAAGTGCCGTCCTTGAGATGTTCAGCTGTCGGCGCACGCGTACTGCCCTGACGACAGCAGGAGAAACCACTCGCACCCTTTATGACCGCCGATCCACCTTCGCCTAAAAATGGATAACTAGGGTTGTGTGACAGTACGCCCATATCTTCGATTTTTGGCTCAATCATAGAGTGACCCAGATGTGTTGGAGTCGGGCCGAGTGGGTAACGATGTGGTGGTATAGGATATGCATGTGCTGGTATGTCTTTTTCATAGTTTGTGGGTAGGGGTATGATGCTATTTGTGTCGGGTTTGCGATCAATGTCCATCAAATGATTGTTATGGTGGTGTAAGCCAGCACCACTGCTGGACTTCATTAGTGGGCCATTGGAGGCTTTTAAATGGCTGGCATGCCCCAGTGAGCTTGAATGGTGAGGGTGCATACCATGCGTACTGCCATAACCCATACCCGCGGACGAATGCTGATAGCCGGGCACGAAGTTCTGTTGATAGCTCTGTTGGAAGGAGCTGGAGCTGCCGTAGTAGGGTGAGTTGTGATAACTTGCGTAGTCCTGTTGACTTTGGTGATGTTGTTGCTGTGATGGCATGCCCTGCACCTCGTTCTGGCAGAAGTCTGCATATTGTATGAAATTCTGATAGTTGCGTTCGTAACCCTCCATTTTGGTGTGTTGTGCGGGCAGAAGGCCCGGCTCAGTTTTGATATATGGTGTATGATAATCGGGATGCTGTGGTGGCGGATAGCCATGCGTGGGAGCGTAGCCAGTCTTTTCTAATGATTTTAAACTGTGTGAGCCGTGTAGAGAACCATGCAGTCCACCGCCGGGGTCGTTGCTATTCTTTTCATGTTCAGCGGCTTCCGCTGCGGCGGCCGCTCGACTTTTACTTTTACGACTCGATTTCTTCGGCGGCGCATCCGTGTGCGCAATGGTGGTGTGTCCACCGTGATGACTGATTGTGGTATGTTGTTGATGTTGATGGTGATGTTCCGGTGTTGGGAAACTATTTGCCACAGGTTTCTTGAAAGTGTTCGTATGGTGTGGCTTCCATATTTGATCGCCACCACCTCCTATTGCTTCCGGTGCTAATGTGCTATGACCAGGTGTCAAACCCGTATTACTGGTGGTTTGAAGACCTTGCATTTGTTGTTGTTGCTGCTGTTGTTGCTGTGCAGCTTGTGTGACAGACACATTAGAACCAGTCGTACCATTGGCGTTCATTACTGAGTCGCCGCGGAGATGGTGGCTATACGATAAAAAATGACCGGTCTGCGATTGTTGCGAGCCGCTTAGTGCATTGGAGCTCGCACCAAGAATGGCTGGATTGCTGGACATATGCAGTTCGGCGGCTGGCGTATTCGATAGTGGATCTTTGGGATCATTCTTACGCAGTATCATCGATTTTATGCGCGTATTGAGGTTGACACGTTCGCCCTGCTGTTGGTAGGGATCGCCAGCAATGCCGCCAATTGTGCCGGGCTGCTGCGGCTGACTGTTCCAACTCCAGTCTTGTTGAATCTGCTGCTGTTGTTGTTGTTGCTGCTGTTGTTGTTGCTGCTGCTGCTGTTGTTGCTGCTGCGTTTGAGGCGGCGATGCAATGTGATTTTGCCCTTGTTGTTGTTGCTGCTGCTGCTGTTGTTGCTGCTGCGTTTGAGGCGGCGATGCAATGTGATTTTGCCCTTGTTGTTGTTGCTGCTGCTGTTGTTGCATGGCATTGTGATGTGGCGAAGGTGGAATGCTGGCGCCGTAGGTTTGCTGAGCTGTAGGCATATTGCCATTGGGCGATTGTGGTATATGATTTGGGGATTGAGAAACATGGCGGGGTTGTTGTTGTTGCTGCTGCTGCTGCATCAAATTACGCGTCGGTGATTGTGGCACATTGGTGACGCTTGGTGGCTGCATTGGTTGCGTGGGATCAATGACAGCCGATGATGGTGCTGCCGTGGCCTGACCACCATTCAGTGAGGTTGTGCTCGAGTTGTTGCCGGCGGAAATGGCAGAGCCGGCTATTGCAGACGTTGAGTTCTGACTTGGTGTTGTTTGCTGCTGCTGCTGCTGTTGTTGTTGTTGTTGTTGTTGTTGCTGCTGCTGCTGTTGACCTGAGCCGCTGTAGTCGCCTGAATACCCGTTACAATTGAGTGAGCGCGGCGGCACGCTGCTCACTCGCGGATATCCAGGCGTGTCGTTTCCCGACATCGTCTTATTCAAATCGCCAGACACACCCAAGTGCTGCTGCTGTTGGATTCCAACGGCTGGCGGTGCTGGGGCGGTCGACACTTGACCGGCATATGTAACGGCAGCCGGACTGAAGCCCACACCCTGTAAACCCACCTGATTGATGGGTGCAGTCGATAGTTGTTGACTTTGGAAATCGTAACGCTGCACGGGTGCACCATATGGCGAACGACCATAGTTCGGATCAAATCCGAGGCCGGTCTGCACATAGCCATTTGATGGGTAGGCATATGATTGCGTTTGGAAATCCAAGGAGTTGAGCGATGTGATGGGTGGAGTGTTCTGTGGGATTTGTTGGATGAACTGATTTTGCCAGCCCTGTGAGGGATCAGCCTGCCATGTGGGGTAGAAGGCCATGGGCGCCTGAAATAGGAGAACACAGGGAGAGAGAGAGAGAGAGAGAGAGAGAGAGAGAAAAGTGTGTAAATATAAAATGTTATACGCACAATAATTAGTATGGAAGCGGTAATCATTTCAGGATACTAATAATATTTATCTGCGTTCGTTTTAAAAATCTACAACGTATTAGTAAGCACATACGTGTGTATGCATGTTTGCATATTTAGCAAATACAATAATAAATTTACATATACATTTCATTTCTTACGCATTCAATCTATCATATTTCATCCGTAATGCCACCCCAGGCGGTGCTAAATAAAGGTTCCTGCAGTCAAAATCTGCCGAGCTATAAATTCCGAAAATTAAAGCATCTGCACGAAAATCAACAAATTCCATTTATGGAGGGGTGAGTTTTAAAGTGATTCGCTACGGGTATGTACATCCGCCACGAATTGATAATGCCATAAGATTCACGCGTATACAAGCGCATTGTATGTGTACTCGTATAGTTGTAAGTATGTACGTTTGTATGTATTGTACAAGCGCTAATGTGGGTTACATTTGGCATAGCGGTGGAATTTTAATTTTTATTGAAATGCTAATAAATGCCAGATTTGTTTAGGTAAATATGTATGTGTGTATGTATGTATTTGTAAATAAATGTGAGTCAACAAAAAAGAAAGGGTAAGTAGATTTGTGAGTAGTTGAGAGATAGAAGGTACCCTTATAAATACAAATTCAAATAAAAATATATGTATGTACATACATGCATAATATACACAAAAAGGATACAAAAATCGGAATGCATGTATGTATGTTTGTATGTATGTATCCACATTTTATTTCGATAGTCAGCAAAATCTCGTGCGTTATATAAAATTTGGCAGCTTTTTGTGGGTAGAAATAAACGGATTATAAACCAAGCTTTGTATTTATATTTTAAATCTAAGTCTATATATGTTTGTATATTTAAGGACCTATTCAAAAAAATCGTATATATGCGTTTATTAACTCAATATTCATTTCATAGGTGACTTTTTCCTTAGATTAGCAAAAGAAGTCCTCTCTTCTGCTTTTTAAGTTTCTCTTTATGTAGAAGTTTTGGGGAAGTGGAACGTCTACCTATTGGTCAAACTTTTGGATGGTGTGCCCAAATGGAATATTTTAGTTTTTAGAAGTGAACCAGGAACCTGGAACTTAGTTCAACTTGCTCGAAACATGAACAATATTTTTCTTACGGAAACGCATAATCGACAGATTGACAAAAACTAGTAAGATTTGGATATATACTTAGATCGTGTGTAGGTGTGTACGATGTGCAATATTATTATTTTGCGACTGAAGGATATAAGCTATTCGTATACAAATACTTAGCTACGTGCATATCAATAATATAATAAAAAACTGAATGTCTTGAGCTAGATGATGCTTAAATGGGGATACATATACATACATAAAGCCACAACAGCGGGTAATGGACAAGTGATGTTCATTGTGATTTCCTAGAATGATCTTGTATATGTCTTGAACGGTCTCGTACGTTTGGAGTTTTTAAAAACATCAATTGCCGATTTATTGCCTCATCGAAACCTCATAAAAGCGGATGCCCTTTTGCTATTGCTAGCATCCCAGACTCCGCCTGAAAACAGATTCTCGTCATCGTGCTTGAGTTACCTACGTTGTTAGAACTATTCCAGAATAACCCATAAGGTATGGAAATAAGCTCGTAACTACTGATGGCATTAACTTTCGCCTGTTCTACTCCCGGTCTCATTGTTCGCTTATGAAAATGTATATATTGTCATGTTATTACAGTTAGAGGATTGAACCTAATTATTCAAAACTAAGGCCGCTGTTCGCACCTACACGGACTTTATAGAGATGTCATAGCGTCTACCATACTCTGTAAGCAGGTACTTAGCACCCGGTTCCCAAAGGGTTGATGCGATATTTCTCATTTAAAATTTTTCTTAAAAAATATCTGTAAACTCGTCTCGACAACCATCATGATCATTCAGCAAATTTTCATGACGAAGTTTTAATTTTGAATTATAATTTCAATATTTTTTTAATTTATTTTTAAACATGGAGACGCCATGAATTTTAGAAGTTTTTTGCAGCTCAAAATACTAGTTGCCTGGATCCTTTAATAATTTAAACACGTGTAACATTAAAGGATATTCATACGTGTATGTATGTATTAAAAATATTTTACGCAATTTCATATTCTTTATTTTTTCATTTTCTCTGCACACACACTTGACAACAATAACAACTTTCACTCTCGATTGCGGAAATTTGCAGCTGGTTTTGAGTTAATAAAAGTTTATATTGAATTTGTTGTTGATTTTTTTTTGTTTTGTGTAAATTATAGATACACACATCCACATACATATGTTATTTATGTGTTTGGTGACGGAATTATAATAAATAGGCCATCCAAACAATATGCCGATTTATGAATGAATGAAAACGCAGTGAAGTAAATAACTCTATGAATGATTGAGTATGAACATACATACATACAAGTATGTGTGAGCGTATGCACACAAGCAGGTGTTAACTGGCATATACAGGCATATAATGTACATACGTGTATATATTCAAATATACGCTCGAAAGGTATATGCAGCTTCGAATGCCGTTGCCATTTATATGAGGCGGAATTGAGACAAAAATAAATAAATTTATTATTTCCCCACAAGCAAAGATTAGTCATAAGAGATAACAACAGGGATAAGATTTAATTACAAATTTTAGAAAGGAAAGTATCTAGTACATATCTGCATACATGTAAGGTAACTGTTTTATATTATGTGTATACATGTGTGTGTTTAGTTCTCAGGAATATATTCAGAGCAAATATTATATTAATAAGAGCGTACATTAATGTTTTCTTACGGTACATATTATATAACTCGTAGTAATATTATTTTAACATGAGCACGGTAAGCAAAATGTAAATGTAAAGGGCGAGAATAATGGTCGTGTTGATAATACACCGGTGTACGATAAACTTGCAAATTATATGAGCAACATCATTAACGAGCAACAAAAAATGCATAAATGTATATACACGTATGAACATATAAAAATATATACTTTAATGTATTTTTATGTGCTAATTTGGTATTGGTGGGTTATTTTCCATAAATCAAATATGCAACTGAATGGGAGAGAAGTCAGCTATACTATTTTCAATGGATCTTTTGGTGTAAAAAAATTTAAGAAAATTATGCACAATTTTTACATGTTTTTCAACCGGCAAAAAACGCCGAAATTAAAAATATACGTATACAAAAAAATAAGAAAACAAATGGAGGCTTCAAAATTTCCATTTTTTCTTAAACCTATTCTAAAACTAACCCAGAATACGTTTTCAAAATTTTAGTGGCCAGTTCGACATATTTTAGAAGCTAGAGCAGTTTTAGTGGCCGAGCGTTCGAATATATGTAATTTGCGCTTTGTAACTTTCTCCAGCTTGTGGTATGCGTCTTGAAGTTTTTCCAACAAATGGAGGGACCTATAGTTTATTCCAAGCCGCCTCCGAACGCTGATGGTTTTTTATGAGAAGCTTTTCATTTCATGTCAGAAGTACACCCAAAAGGGTTGATATTCCCTGCCTAGGGGCGACCGCTATTAGAAAATTGGAAACAAGGTAAATTTATACACAGTAGTAGAAATAATACAAAAACGAAAATCCTATATATATTGTTTGTTTAATTATAGTTTCGAAAAGTCAAAAATGCAGTCTAGTTTAGAACTAAAAGCTCAGCTAGTCAGCCAACTGTCTCTCCTTCATATAATGGTTCGGCATTTGTTAGTTTCCGATTAAGAATTCTGACACTAGTAAAAAATGGTTAAAGAAAAAATAAAATCATTGTATAAACATTTAATAAACTAAAGCGTAATGAATTGACATAAACCATTATTTAGTTGCATTCATTTTAAACTACTTCAGCACTTTTCTGCTTAATACCACTAGAAGGTCTAGTAGCAATCTAGTTCATTTTCTGGCTAGTTTGAAATTTTCTTGCCAGGCTCATATGTTTATATGTATACATATACATATAGTAATGCATTTATGTATGTGTAATAATTATTTTCAATTACTGTAGTAATGCAAGCAGGAATTTTATTATTCACAAACAGAAATTCGTTTGAAATGAGCGAGGTAATAATTTGCAAATATTTTTGTGTAATAAATTAGCGGCTTGGTTTTGAATTTTACTGTGCAAACCTGAACATACATACATATGCATTTGAGTATATATCAGCTTGAGCTAGTTATGAGATAATAAAACTATATAAAAAGCTTTTGTATATTTTATTATCAATTATGGGTTTTAGGCTTTATGATAATTGTTATAGAATTTGACAGCTTCAGCTGTTTTTTGTGACGTCACAGCAGAGCAGATTTATAGGAATAGAATAAGTAAACCGTTGCGACCAAAAAAGTGTTGGCTTCTAAGAAGGGAGCAATTTTATGTTTTTTCTATGCAACCATAAACCAAATTACTAAAGAGAGAACTTTAAGGGTCTCAGCTTTCCTTGCGCGTAATTCATTTCCTTCAAATATATATTTCACTTTAGCAAAAACAATTGCTTGCTATGCCTGAGCGCGATTTCACTGATAAACTTCGACATGGCAAAGAAATGAAAAGAAATAAAGGAACATTTCTTAGAATGAAAAATAATTTACTATAATGGTATGTACAGAAAACCGCCCTTAAAAATCAGCAGAGAAGGCGAAAGACATGGTGAAATCGCACGTAACATTTTGGGGTGGGAATACATAAATGAAAGGGGAAGTAATAGTAGGAATGGCACCACAGGTGGGGTTGGTGGCATTAGAAAAGTTTATGTTGTTTTCACAATTAATTGGATACATACCAACTAGGAAATTGTAAACGAAAGACATCTTGAAATGAATAATGAAAATAAATGTAGAATCAAGTAAATAACGTAATATTTGAAAAAAAATTTCCTTCAGGGTCGCCACAAGGGTGTGCACACTACAGAGAACAGGCTTTCTCCTGCCACGCGAATGTTAAACGTGGCAATTGTATTGCTTAGCGGGTATTTGGGCGAATTGGTAAGGTAGAGTGACCCATTAAAATGCATTTAAAATGAAATCGCGATAAGGTAAATTATAAAAGTGTAAGAATGGGGGCAGAGCAATGCGGAGAATACACACGTAAAGGTATTGAACTGAAAATTCTTGCAAACACATCTTTCAAAATCAATCTATTGATTTATTTTTATAACAAAATTTAAATTATGCGTAAAGCCAGCGTTGCACATGTGCCAAGCATTAAGCCTTGGGGTTGCGCATAAAATAAAGATAAATAAATAAACTTAATATCTTCAACAATACAGCGATGGCGATAAAATTGTGTGACAGTGTGCGTTAGTTAGCATTTGATTTAACATTCAGAATGTGGCAAGGACATTTGAAATGCGTTATTATATGTATATATGTATGTATTGCACGAGTAGGTGGCAAAAAGTGTACGTCATCTTAAGTTTATTTATATCAAGAATACATGTAAATTCTTAAGTGCGTTTGTATGTATGTATGTATCTATGCACGCTTAGCGGTTGGCCTCCTTAAACAACTTTGCCGACACTTACACACATACATATGTTGATGCATGCATGTATGTGCCCATAGTGAGCAGGTGCAAGCCTCGTTCTTGAAGGCGCACGCACAAGGTTGCATTTATCGACATCTTGTCTTGGCAGGAAACTTATGCAATTTCTGTGCTTTTCTCTTTTCTTTTTCTTCCGATTTATTTTTGAGTTTGCTCTTCGTAACAATTTTTAATTCAATCTCGTATGTTGTAAGGCATTTGGTATTTGTTTTCATGTGTGAGTATTGAAACACTTTCTTTGCTTGATGGTGTGTAAATATGGAGGAGAATAATAAATTTGTATGTACTAACGCTCATGCACATACATATATACATACACGTGTATGTACCGCTGAATGCATGAAAAGTTTATTATATTATATGGCATGAAATAAATAAATAAATAAATAAATATAATTTACGTGTATCTATCTATGTAACTATATGCATTTGTGTGTAATAATGTACTCAGTGTTGAATTTATTTTGGCATATGCACTTTTCATCAGTGAAACTTTTGCAAAAGTTTGATTTTTAATAAAATTTGTTAAAAGTTTTTTTTTTTTGATTTTTCTCAGGCATAGCACTCTGAATAGTTTTCACTCTCTTTTCGCATCAGTTTGGGATATAATGCGTGCATAATAGAATTAGTAAAATAATGCAAAACCAAAAGCACCAAAGTTAGATCAAAATTTGTGTGTGCCACAATAAGTTTGCTGTTGCAACCAATAAATAATAAAATTAAAAGTTGTATAGAGAATTGTTGCAAAGCGAAATTTTAGCGTCGGAGGCGACTTTGACTTTAGTCAAATACAGTAAAATTCAAAAATAATACAATAAATATGATTTTGAAAAAAAAAAATAAAAATAGAAAAGATCATACGACTTGTTCTCCGTATTTAAGAGACCTTCGTACCGCAAACCAATCAATCAAATAAAATAATTTCCAATTGATTCAATTAACTCGAGTGTTTTCACAAAAAACATTCAGTTATTCTAATCGTAAAATTATCAGGTGTACAACTTTGCTTCCGCCGTTTTCCGATAGGTGGCTGTACCGGCTGAGGCTGGTTGAAATACATAGATGATAATGCCTTTAAAGTGAGTGTGGACAGTGCCTAACGAATTTTCATCGCCGTTTCAGTGATAGTTGTTCTTGTTTTCGTATTACTTTTCTGTTACAATTCGAAAAAAAAAATGCAGCTGAAGCGCATCGCATGCTCTCAGAAACTTACGGTGATGCTGCTCTGAGTGAAAGAACGTGTCGGGAGTGGTTTCAACGTTTTAAAAATGGTGATTTCGATGTCGAAGACAAACATGGTGGTGGAAGAGAAATTTGGTGGGATCAGCTCGATATGATTTACTACGAGCTCTTAAAACCGGGTGAAACCATCACAGGAGATCGCTACCGAACGCAACTGAGGCGCCTTAGTCGCGCGATAAAAGAAAAGCGGCCACAATATCAAGAGCGACATGACAAAGTCATCCTCCAACACGACAATGCTCGTCCTTACGTCGCAAAAGTGGTCAAAAAGTACCGCCGGGATCCGAAAATTGTCGGAAAGATGGGAGAAAGTTATCGCTAGCGAAGGACAATACTTTGAATAATATATCTGTAAGCACTTTTTCGCAATAAAGCATTTAATTTTGGAAAAAAACGGCGGAAACAAAGTTATACACCTGATAAAAAAATGCTAAAAAGACACAGCAGTGAAGTTGCTAAAGGGTTAATACGATCTCTCGCAAGATCCTTACACAATTTCATTTAAATGGAACTCAAAGTTTGGTGCTTACCATCGGTTGTTGTGGTTGATCTTTCATTGTTTGTATTTGTGCGGTAATTTGATGTTGTTGCAATTGATGTTGTTGCTGCTGTTGCTGCTGCTGGTGTTGCTGATGTTGTTGCTGTTGCTGTTGCTGCGACAATTGATGTTGATGATGCTGTGATTGCTGTTGTTGTTGATGTTGTTGCAACTGCTGCACAGACTGTACTTGCTGTTGACTATGTTGTTGATGTTGCAACTGTTGCTGCTGCTGTTGATGTTGTTGCAATGTATTTAATTGCTGTTGATTGGCACCTAACAATGTATTATTCTGTACGGCATTCGTGTTTGGCGATTGATGTGGCACAACTGCGCCGGCTAACGCTTGTGTTGACGGACTTAGCGCCGAATTGGCTGCGGTCACAGTTGCTGAGGCTTGACGTGGCGATAAGGCAGCTGCTGTGGCGGTAGCAGCACCGTTGGCGGCATTTAATTTATTCGACTTGACGGTGGAAGTTTTGCGACCGCGTGCCTGGAAGATAAAAGAGGGATGAAAATATTGCAAATTAGTATGCAGTAAAGATAAAAGACTTCAAATTTTAATTAAATTAATATTATATAAAAGTCTTGGTGGTATTTCCTATTTTATATATAGTTTTTTATTGTACATCACTTTATTTCTGTTAATTTCTTATATCTGAGTTTCTCTTATTTTCATTTCAAATGATTTTAATTTAATTTCACTTACATATCTGTTTGATAAATTTAATTTAATTTAGTATTATTGCCATTATTTATTCCTTTATTCCATCCCTAAATGCATTTGGTCTTATTTAATATTATTTTATTTTATTTTATTTCGTTTCAATTCATTTTATTTTTAAATGTAATTAAATTTTTTTATTCCATTTTAATTATATTTCCATTTTATTTTAAGTTTTTTATTTTATTATTTTTCTCTTATGTACATTAAATTGATTTTTTTTTTTTTTTTCTATACAATGTCGGAAATTAAGTTAAGCTCGGAGGCGACTTAGTTTGACTGCAGATATTTGTTGGAAAATGCTCAAGACGCATTTCACAAGTTGCATATTTTTAATATTTAATTTTGCTCTATTTTACTTGTGTTTTATTTCATTATATTTTTATATAATGTAAAATTTATTTTTTTGATTTTTTTATTTTTTTTTAAAATAATCTTATTTTGCTCTACATTTAAGTCTTTTAAAGTAATCTCATTTAATTTCATTTTGTTTTAGTGTTTTTTTTTTTAAGAAAAACCTATGATTTAGCTTGTTATTATGCAAAATGTATTTGGTATGATAAAATTATGAATAAAATTGCTTATTGCTTGTGACACCAACAAATCGGCATTTTGCGTCGAATTTATTTCCTATTAAAATCTCAAATTAACTAAATGTCAAATATAATTGCTAAAGTAATAAAAGTAAAACCAAAACATTTATTCACTTATATTATATTTGTTATTTTAGCTACGCAAATATATACATACATAATACACACACACACACACACACACACATATATACATTTATAATGATAGTGCGCTTGAATGTACATATGTATGAGGGTATTTGCCGTTGTTGTTGACCGATAAATTGCATACGTTTACAAATTGCATGCCATAAATTCCAGCTTAACTGTCATTACTGTTGTTTTGTTGTTTTTGTTGCTGCGTTGGTGGTTTGAGCTTACAAAGTTATTATTACTTTTTGCAAACACACGCACACACATACACACACACGCGCACACATGTAAATTTTTATGGGTGTGCTCTCGCACATACATACACGTATGTACATGCATTTGTATGCATGCATATTGTTGTGGGTGCAAATGATTGACCTTTGTGGCATTGGCTTGCGGTGTACCCTCTGGTGGCTAGCGTCTGACCGCCAGAACGACTGTTTTGTACACGTTATTTTCATATTTTATGAATTAAATATCGCAATTAAACTATAATTGAACGATACAGATGATTATACAAAAAAGCAAATATTAATGCGGGGCTATAAGGATGAATATACACAAGTGCATAATAGAATATAGATATTATATTAATGGCTGAGACTAGAAAATGCCACAAGCTACGCAGAATGCATGTAGGCTGTTAATTTACATATAGATTGAAGTCTAAGCGCATATGTATATATGTACTCGTATAATTACATAATATATTATTTTCGTAAACCATTTTATTCAATTTTGCAAATTTTTCGCTTTGCAATAAACCATTACGTGCCTACGAAATACATATCTTAAACAAGCAACAAAAATGTATTGTTGATAAAATTGGTTGTGTTTTTTTTTTTTTAAATAATTTAATTTTTTCCACTAACGAGACAGCAATTTTAACATTTCACATGCTGCAATTTTAATTGCTAATATACGGAATTTAACGCGCCGTCACACCAATTGAAATTAATTAATCCCATATTCCAGCGGCCTCTACGCGTGTCCCTAATCGCCAGCCACCAAGCAGCTTTTATTGTAGTTTTAGGCGTCTGAAAAATTGCATTTCAACGATTTTGCAATTAAACGCAAATGACATCACAAAAATAGCATATTATGTGTAAAGAAAACAATGAATAAATTACTTAGGCAACAACAAATGTAATTTTTAATTTTGAAGTTACATGACGCAAACAATCCCACTCCATATAGAATTTAAAAACGAATGTTTAGATATCATTTCACTTCGGCAATTCAAAACCATGGAAGATAGAGTTTCATATCTACTTGATCAATATACTACTTACATGACATGCTAACTAAAAAAAAATTAAAGAAAGGAAAATCAGCCTTAAGTATTAATTCAGTTAAGATTTCATATCTCTATGACAATTCCTCTGGAAAATATTCTTTCATTAATTGCTGTTTATTCATGAGTGCATAAGTTCGTGCCCGATTCCGCTGGATGCCGTTCGAATCGTTTGAGAGTGGCGTTCGTGAAAGATATATATACATATTATATATCGTTGGAAAGGTGACAGTCCGAACTGTAAATCAAGCATAAAATAACTTCATTTTGATTTGAGTTGCTTAGTGAAAAGACGCATGGAAGATGGACAACGAAAAAGATCATATGCGTCATATTATGTTATACGAATTCCGCAAAGGAAAAACAGTAGGCGCTGCAACTAAAGATATTCGCGAAGTTTATTTGGACCGTGCTCCAGCACTCCGCACAGTAAAGAAATGGTTCGCGAAATTTCGTTCTGGAGATTTTAACCTCGAAGATCAACCTCGCAGTGGACGGCCTTCTGAGCTTGATGACGATGTTCTAAGGACTTTAGTTGCGAATAACTCACGTATTTCGACGGAAGAGGTTGCCAGTGAATTGAACGTCAACAAATCAACTGCGTTTCGTCGTTTAAAAAAGGTTGGGTACACTTTGAAGCTCGATACATGGGTGCCACATCAGTTGAGTGAAAAAAACAAAGTGGACCGTATGTCAACAGCAATTTCTTTGCTTCGACGGATCAAAAACGAACCTTTTTTGGATCGGCTCGTGACTGGTGATGAAAAATGGATCCTGTACAACAATGTTCAACGCAAAAGAACATGGAAACAGGCACACGAAGGGGCGGAACCGATGTCGAAAGGTGGATTGCATCCGATGAAGGTACTGCTGTGCATTTGGTGGGATATCCGAGGCGTGATCTATTTTGAGCTCTTGCCAGCTGGAGAAACGATCACTGCCAACAAGTATTGTCAGCAATTGGTCGAATTGAAGAAAGCAATTGATGAAAAACGTCCGATTTTGGCCAATCGCAAAGGAGTTCTTTTCCATCATGACAACGCCAGGGAAATCATGCCTCATCCCCCATATTCACCCGACATTGCACCTTCTGATTATCATATGCTTCGATCGCTGCAGAACAATTTGAATGGAAAAAAAATTTAAAAATGTGAAAGACGTCAAAAACCACCTTGACACCTTTTTCAACGAGAAACCGCGCGATTTCTATGAATCAGGCATCCGTAAATTGGTTGAACGTTGGGAGTGGATTGCCGAACATGATGGCGAATACATAATTGATTAAAAAAGCGCTTTCTTCAAAAAATTTCAATTTTAGTTTGCACTTGAAATCGGGCACGAGCTTATGCACTCATCCAATAGATGAAAACGCTGTTCACACAGTCACCTAATTAGCTGATTGAGCGAGTTTCAGCAAGTAAATCTAATAGGTTTTCTTCACTAATTTGACAGTTTTCACTTCAGTGTGTTTAGTAAAGAAAAACCATACACTCTTCTAAGAAGAAATGTTAATATTATTATAATTACTTTTTGAATAAACAAATACAAACAGAACCGCACATAAAATTGAAGAGATATAACGATAAAACTTATTTATTTTAATAGGAAAAGTTTACATTTCTATTTAAAATGCTCATAAAATGCATAGTTTAAATTTGCACCCACAAGTATTCATACAACTTCCTACGAAAAATTTACATTGAGTTTCCTTGTTATGCAGTGTGAGCTTGAAATAGATTATAATTAAATTTCTTCAATTAAATTTTTAAGCAGGACTAAAGGACAAAGGCTTTAAACTGAGCAGTTTACATATTTCATATCACAAAAATATACGAATAAATAGGGTTTGCAATCCAGCAGTACTTTCGCCTGATCACAGCGGAGCTTGGAGGTTTTACAATGATCTGGCAGCTCAGTAAGCAGTAAAAGCTGTGAATAAGCTTACTTAAAAAGCTTTAAATCTAAATTAAAGAGTTATAAAACCATAAAAGATATGGCAAATCCCTGAACCTTTGGTTAGCCTTATAAATGTCTCAATGTTGTAATAAAAATAATTGGCAAAAAAATCTTCGCTTTCAGGCATTTATAGCCGACACCAGAAAATTATGCTGGCAGAAAGCAATAAGAAAAGGTTACAAATTAGTTATATGACCTTTAATTTACAACATATGCGAGTATGTATGGGTACAAGTATACTTAAATACATACATATGCACATATGTAGGAGCTTTTAAGTGGTTGAAAATAACAATAAATTTTACCACAAATTGTATAAATAATAAATTCGTATTGGTTTAATTAGAGTTGTGTTTTTATTTATAATGTATAATTATTTATGCTGCTTAATTGCACACCATTCTGAACATATACATACATATATTTACGTACATATAGCTCCAGTGCATATCTTTGCCTCTAATTATATTCAGTATGTAAAACAGCAAGTGTTTGTGAACTTGCCTATTTATCAAGGCGATGGTAATGTACCAAGCATGGAACAGTGAATAAGAAATGCATTCGAATGTAGGAGTGTCGATCGAGTATGAAACAACCACTGCTAGCATCACCAACAGCGCCACAACAACAGCAATACCACCACCAGCAAGCATTGCTGCTAACACATTTGTCGTAAATGCGAATTTATGACGGTATTTTATGGTGTTTAATATTTCAAGATGAAAACGACAACAGACGGCGCAAAAGCGTATATACATACATATGTACGGAGAAGCATACGAACGATAAAGTAC